GGGTAAAGATCATGTCTACATCATATCATTTGAATTTTGCATATGTCATTCACCCTCTTCACAAAAAACTCCCAAACTTGGAGCCTGGATCTCAGCCGCCGCACAGGCGAGGGACTCCGCACCTGGCTTGGCATTCTGATCCATGTTATGTCATTTTGACTCGGAACAAAATGACCGTTTTTCACCAAGAAAAAAAACAGTTGGGTTTGTTTGCTACCATCCAAATTCAAATTAAGATGTTTGAAAAAACAAACCATAGGGATTGGGAAGTTCAATGGGCCGGCTCATGTTTAGGGGACACTTCCTCCACAAACTCCAAGGATTTATCATTATTTGTCCGATAGAATCTAGCAAAACATGAAAGACACATGTGTTTTTTTCTTTTAACCTGTTACCGTGGTGATCCAAAACCAACAACTTCAAGGAGAGAATCACCCCAAACCTGGGTGTCTACAATTCATTAATCCAGTTGATGGGGGCTAACTTCCCATGTTTCTTGGTTTTGTTTAATTTGATAAAAATAAATTGATAAAAATAAAACAAAAGGTAGAGAAATCTCTGAGAAACAACAGATATGGATTTGTCTGAAAGTAGGCTACCTTGCAAAAGAACACGGCTTCATCATGTTTCCTATCAATATTGCCATAGATTTGGGTATATCCCATGTTCATACACATCCAAATATCATAGTTAGTGGATTACATTTTCATCTTTTAGCCTTATCCAAATTATATCCCCATAAAACGGTTGCTGCACTCCATGTTCATCAACCTCCAAACTTTCAAACGTAAGAATGCTTGCTTCTATGGTTGTATATATAAAATATATATATACACATTTTAATATACAAAATTACAAGTATCGTTAACTAATGTTGATTATCTCCATTACATATCCTCAGTATATTCCTGGGATATCATTCAAATTCCTTGTATAATATTATATAATCTATCTCCATTGATTCCTATTATACGTTTTATATTTATTATTTTTTTATAGTTACGTTGTATTATATATATATACATATACAGACACATACACTATCATTAATCATTTCCACTACATATTCACATTAAGTTTTGAGTGTATAACTATCCCGATTCAACTAAAATTCGACTTTTCCGTTATGAATCAAAATTTTCCCCACTACACAAATATCACAAACAATGAAGTTGTCCCTATCCCTGTCCCATGCTTCGTTGCTAAACCGGCCAGATCGCCTCCAGCCGAAGCTTGGGCGATACGGAACGGGACGGCGCCCAGTCCGAGGCCGGAGCTGGGCTCGGAGCAGCGGACCTTATTTTTAGCGCAGCGGATCTGGAAGGATGGGGATATACTTGGGATATGATAGGGATAAGGATAGCTATATAGATATTATATATATATATATATTATATTGTGTTGATATAGCTATCATAAATATAAGGGATATATATATATATGTGGGATATACATATGTTATTTAAGGGACATGATATATATATATATATTATTATGTTTGTATATAATATTATATATATATATATAACCAATCATGTTGATATGTGAACACCCTGAGCCGCGATTGGATTTCAAACATGGATCTAAAAGTGCTTTCTCCAAAATAAAAAAAAAAACCGTCGGATGATTGAAACCCCAGATAACATTGTTACTGAATCAAACATGGCAATGGAGAATCTTCAATTTATAGTTGTTTTTTTCCGACTAACATTCCTCCATATTTCTAGAAAGTGGATTTCCAATTGCCATGTTGGATTCTCATGGATTCTCATGGATTCGGAGGCTACTTAGCGGCTAGCTGTATCCCTCAACTTGGATTTGCTCAAAGAACCCCCTCGCCTTAAAATATGTCTAGATTCCCCAGTGGAATTCTCCATTGGGAAAACCACAAACATCATCGCAAATCCACACTATCGATGATTATTAATCATGGATTTCCCGGAGTTCGCCATATTTTAACCAGGAAACTCGTGTTTTGTATGGCTTAAGCGGCTTAAGTATGGTGTATCCATCGATTGATCCAGGAAACTCCAAATCTTCTCGACGTGGAGTGGGCATGGCATCAATCTTCATGGCCTCGCGGTGCCCGGTTTCCGTTGTCCATTGGGGGATGGTTTAGGGTTTTAATATGTTTACCACATTATATATAACAATAACTTATATAATTAAGACATAATAATAAAAAATATATATCTATCTATATTAAGTTATGTTATGTTATGTTATTCATATGTTATATAAATATATCATGTATATGATATGTTATGTTATGTATATACGCTACCAGTAGGACATACGACCAAAATAATCCCTGGCTTGTCCAAACCTTCGGAACTTCGCCAAAACTGCTATGTTGAAATAAGAAAGCGATAATAATGATTGGCCAGTGGATTTTGTGGGTATTCCCATGGTTCTTATGGCAGCACAACATCGATTACGGATATGTTAAATATGAACCAATGGACTCACAAAATGTGCCTTTCTAATGTCTTGATCGAAAGTTTGAGGGTCAATGGTTTGAGCTGTGGGATTGGTAGATCGTGAGGAAATTTGGAAAATGCAAGGAAAAGTAACAGTACGTGTAGCTACAATACATTACTGAGGATTCAACCCATGACCGACACTGCAAAACAACTTCAAGGTATTTCTCTTGCAGTACAGAGGAAACGAATCGCCGCAGTATGGTGATATCCATGTTTGAGGAACACCCTATATACCCTCTGGTGAACTAACATAGCAATGGAAAATCACCATTTTTAATGGGAAAACCACTATAAATGGCCATTTTCAATTGCTATGTTAGTTCACCAAAGGGTAATTTCTATGGCATTAGGAAGCACCCGATTTTTCGGGACTATTCTGCAGAGTCCCCGAAAAACACTTTCTGCCATTGGGGATCATAGTCATCATCATCCTAGGGATGGAAATGAACATTGAACCCCAGCCAGTGTATATAATATCCCGGGAAAATATCCTTCAGACTCCAGACCATAAATTCTTGATGCCCCTTCCAAACACTGAGAATTGAATAGAAATGCAGAACCTATGATCCAACAAGCGACTCATCGGACGTCGTTGAACATCAAATTATGCATTTGGACATGTACCCAAACATCCCCAAACAAATTGTTCGGCATCATCAGTGTCATGGATTGTGTTGATTGATAACGCCATAAACTAGAACGTTGATGATAGTTGCAAGTAGCGACATGTTTCAAATCTGTTCCGCAAGTCGGAAATCCCCTGTTTTACGTCCCCCGTTGGATCGTTGGATCAACATGGATCAGCATGGATCAACCTGGACCGGCGGATTTAGATTATTCCATGATGGAATTTGTAACCGGCCCATGATTTCCGAATTGGAAAATCGAAAAAACATCCCATATTCAATCCCAATTGATATTGATTGAATATGTGGAATCCGTTTCTGCTCCACTTTCTGCATCGACCCTGGGTCCCACCCTTGGTCCTCAATCGCTTGCTGCAGCTTTTTATGCAACGTCCCTCCTTTGGTTGTATCTTCGGCATCAGCCAACAGCCGAACTAAAACCATGCCTGGGCAATGGTAAGGGCAATCTGGGACCGGGGAACTCCTCAGGAAAAGAAGGGAGTGTGTCGGATGGGTTTTCATGCTTGATATTACCAAATAAGTACAAACAATGACCTCGGGCTCGTGATCGCGATGCTTTATGCTGCGCAAATTTTCCACGTGACCCTGTGCGAGTTTCACTTACCTTGTTCTGCCTCAAGATATTCCGACCACTCTGAAGGCAATCTTTTCTGGGCCACATGTTAATATACAGACCTTTGTTGGGGTTTACACCGATCCCCGACGTGTGGCCTGCCATGAAATGTTGGCTCAAAGTAGAGACGTGCGCTGCCAGCAGGTCCGATTTCTCCACAGTGATGGATTGCCTCGGGTTATGAAAAACAGCTGCGAGAATTTCGAAATGCAGCACGTAAATATATCCCATATGCTCCATGGTGCTGGAATATTTACCAACATTTACCCCATAAATCACCCAGTTTTGTAGGTAAATATACTATACATAAAGCGTTTGGGTATATATATATATATATGTCTGTGTAACATGCACACATGTTCACAATCAATCAAAAACATATACAATAATCGATTCTATATTCTATAACTCTTAAAGTTGCAGTCATACCATGTCATACATAATTTTAAAATAAAGAACCACAACATACCACTGAACCAGGGCAGGTCGTGTCACGACTTGACCCAGCTGCTCTGGAAATCGCAAGAGACAATCCAAAGCTTTCCGCCGGTCCTGGCGGACGCGGCTCTGGTGATTGAAAGTGAATGGCCGAACTTTCCCAAATCGGTTTGCAGAACTCTATGTGTATTTAGAATTTATATAATATATATATAAACAACATTATATGTATATATATATATATAATTATATATAATATGATTCTATATATGAATAGATGTTCATATTTTATGCTTCCCCATTAAAAATGAAGCTCCATTCCATGTTTGATTCTCTTTGCTTCGTTCAGATGGTACCTCTGATTTTGGCACTCTGGTGAACATCAAAGGTAGCCATGACTGAGCTGGTGGCTTCAGGGTGAGCAGTTTGGATGTTTTTTGGCCGTCTGTGTTCAACAGCTAGGGCCGCTAGGGGATGCTTCTTAGCCGCAACTTGAGTATTCCTCTAGCAATGGGAAGGCAAGCCTCTCCTACTTCCAGTCGCAAGGAAGAACTACTTTTAGGCGACTTCAGTTCTGTTGTATGGATCCCTTAACGTTGACCGAACACATGTCCATCTCTGGTTATTGCTCATGTCCCTAGATGTTCGTGCTTTGCCTATGATGCGGCAAAGCCAATTATAAGCCCAATTCCTTTCAGTTTTACTTCATCTGAAAAAGATCAGATTCTCGGATTTCGTCTTTTTTAGTCGATGCCAAGTAATTCCGTGTTGTTTTTCCAGAACGCTTCAGACGTGACTTCCATCTCCAGCAATCCCAGCCTGCACCACAGGGTCGTCTTGGTCCAACGTGCCGCTGAAGACTTTCAACAGGAAATCGTGCCTCAGCAACCGGGGAAGTTTCGGCAATCTGCGGTGATGAGTACAGCTGGACTTTACAGTTGTAGGATGGTCCCATCTACAGATGTGATGTGTATATATATATATATATACATATTATATATATATATAATATCTATAAATATAATAATATATGTCATGTAATATATATATACACATCATATAATATATGCATACCATGGCATATGCGTAAGTTGTACATGTTTGTGCTCCTGAAATTTCCTTATTGGCTGCAAACTTCAGTTGAATCCTTCCGCCATGTCAGGGCACACCGCAGGAACTGTGCCGTGGAAGGCTTCGTGAGGCAAAATGAGAGAAGGCCCGCCACTGTTGGGCCTGGGGAGAGGCCATATTCATCAGCAATAGTGGCAATGAGGGGCACAACCCGCCAAAATTGGGAGGTCAACGGCATTATTCATGGACGGAAAGGGCCTGTCCCAAAATGCTGGATTGGGAGGTCAAACTTATGGTGGTTCAAAACTGAGCAAATTGAGGCTGAGGTGTTTAACCGCTGGGTGGAGTGGTGAACTCTATGTTTGGACCAACCCATGGTGGGGCTCATTTCATCCTGATACCTTTCTCTTCCGATACGAAACACGTTGGCAAAATATACTTGATGATCTGACGGTTATTCATACCCATCTTCATGTTCATGCACTGTTTCAGATGTGTCGTGTTGAACCTTCAGTACTACAACCTGGCTAGAAAAGCAAGCAGTACCAGGGGCTAGAAAAGCCAACGTTTGCAAATAACGTGTGCTTTATTCAAAAAGGTGTGCTTTTGGCCATTGCAATGTTTGACAATCAGGGAGCTACACGATGATTTGGATAGCCATCTTGTTTGATGGATCCCATGCCACAAGGAGGCTCTGAACTGCAGCTTCTTGGTGCAGTTCTATCACATTTTGCTCCCATTGCTCCTGAAATATGTTGAAATGTGTACCCCTCCCCATGTTTGACAACAAAACTCCTCCTCGTGCTTTCTCCCAGTTGATATTGGCTACGGTTTAATGGGCTATAGATATAGATATTTTATATTATGATATATTCTATTCTATCCCCATGTCATGCCACGTCAAAGCTGTTTGGCTCGTCCATCACGGTCACGGCCTGTTTTGCGCCCATCGCTCTTTGGATTGAGGACCAAAAGCTCTCCACAGTGCATCCTCCTGACAAACTCAGTCACTGCTGATCAAACTTGGAGACACCGATTTGTGAAAAAACAGTATATTACCAGAAACCAAGCGTATATGTGGTTCACAGGTAAAACGCTTGAGTAATAAATGGAGAATAACATAGAGTAACTGAGTAACTATCTCCATGTATATCATGTATATATATATATATTCATAATAGTTCATAATATTTCATAATATAGCCACATATTTCATGAACAATAAGTAGGTTGAATCCAGGATGTATTCCAATGTGCACCTCGTCCTTGGAAGCTGCTGCATGTAGCAGCGACGCAACGCTGGCCTGGAATTGGCCAAGATATGCAAGTGGAAGACTTACTGGTGCTGAATAGGGAATGGGGGAATGGGATGATTGTTGATAGTTAGTACGGATCATTCCCCCATTCCCTACTAAGCACCAATAAGAAGATCATGAGATCTTGGCGAACTTGTGAACATATTTGATTTAATCTGTACATATACAATTATATATATACACACACATTTTGCATAGGTGCGTCTGAAAATGTAGTATACCCCCGTCCAGTTTGATTTTAAGATGAACACATGTGAAAAAACTAGTGGATGGAATTGGAGTCACTATTTTCAGACCAAGCCATGTGTGTATATATAAATATATATTATAGTAAAACATGTCATTTGTAATCAACTGGAGATGGAAATGTTTGGAACCCACAGATAGGTGGCATATCCCACAAGAAAGCCCAGTTGGAGTTAATGGAAGACCTTGGCAGGGAGGTTGCCACAAAATCTCAAGAACTTGCTCGGATAGAGGTGAGTTGCATCTGGTTATTGGATACAGATACTATCAGTTCTCATCAATTCAGGGTGCCAGTTTATCTGGCGGCCTGCGGCAACTTCAGAATTATATAGATCTTTGGTAAAGATTCCAAGTCATCATAGTACGACGTAGTGAAGAGCCATCTATGTGCAAATATAATATAGCAGAAATTCCAAAAACAAATTGTTTCCAAGAAACGATATGTAAACGCAGGCCGAACATATCCAAACATCAACTACGTGGGTTCCCAGACTTGGAACTTTGCTATAAACGGGCGCGAAAGGGTCCCTTATCGTCCCTTGCGTTTCCTCCATGTCACCTTTTGGTGGGCATCAACCAAGACCAAGATTTCCCGATCCAAAATAAAAACATGTAACAATCAAAATCTCCATCCTTGTTGGTTGTATCCCTATGTTTGGTGCTGAACTTCTCGTTGTACATGTCCCATTTTCGGAGAACATCTCCGCCCGAAACCAAACACGTCTGAAAAACAAACGCAGTCACATAACCATTCAATTCATAGTGTTCCACCAAATAAAACATGTTCAATCTTGAAAGAAACACAACCCCCCCCCCAAAAAAAAAATGTGGAAATCTCAGCAGAATCACCGGAAAAAAAAACACGCCTCCATGGCCGGGAACTTATTCTCCTCCGGTGACGGGTCTGAAACCTCGTCCTAACATCGGTAGCAGCCGGGAGGTTTCAACAAAGATGTGAGTTTAACATGAATCATTACATAAGATCAACAAAATGTTGAAACCAATGTCAACTTAACACATATATACACATATAATATGTTTTAACCAACCTTATCCAGTGTCCAATGTTAAGCCTTAAGAAGACATGTTCAAACACAAGGATCTTCATCTCCAAAATGTTGGAATTTGAGCAACACATATGGGGACTTCAGCATCCAAACGGCCCAGCAAAAGTTTGCATCACGGTGTTTGTATACCCAAACCCTCAATTTTACCTGTGGCAATGCGCCAACAGCATTTGTATCCGGTATATACAATATATATACAACTATGCAGAGAAACACATGGCTTTGTCTCAGCTGTTTTCCAGGGAAAAGCCGTTTCACAAAAATCCCATGGTTTCAAATCTCGATTTCCCCATGAAAATGGCCGTTTCACCCAGTGGTAAATCTCCACCAGGTCACCCAGGTCAGCCCAGGTCACCTCGGAAGCTTCCAATTCCTCCACCATGCTCGCGATCACCTGTTGACCTGTCCGCAGGATGGGAGTTGGGGATCACATCTTTCTATAATCCATATGTGAACCATGGTGCTGGAATATGAATCCAAACATTTACCCCATAAATCACCCAGTTTTGTAGGTAAATATATGTAAATATACCAGCACCATGGAGCATTTGGGTAATGAACCCATGCCGAAAAATTCCTGACTTCGTCTTGGATCCATTCATTTTGGGGTCCTGTAGTGTTTTCTTACAATATTTGGAGGATGGGATTACTCAATCCAAATATTGTAAAAAACCGCATATATATCCAATATTTTTTACAATCTTTGTAATAATCTGATTGTTCAATTCGTATCCAAGTTGTGTGGGTTGACACAAGAGTACATCGATCACCTGAAATTGGCTAAAGCTAAGATCTGACACTGAAACCCCTCTATATATATATATAAATGTGTGTCCCAAAACTAACTAGTTTGAAGTCACAGCAGATGCAATGTAACCAGTGAATTTTGATGGTTCATCCTCCCATCCTAAACCTTTCAACACCTCCATCGCATGGCCGCCGGCCCCAAAGATTTGTGCCCGCCAGCTAGGTGTGTCGCTTTATAACCTTCATTAACCATATATCGATAAACAATAGAATTTGCCTATACTATCCTATACTTGTAATAATTTAATTAACTAACTAAAGCCCATACAAATCCCATAAAGTCCCGTTCAACCAGCATTTTTGCTGGTATGCCCCTGCGCACCGTTTCCAGCCTGGCCTGCTGTCCCTTGTCCATTGAAAGTTCGGTCCCTGCTCTTCCGCCTCGAGCGAAGTATTGAATTCATCTTTTTGAACATGTTGAATCCCAAATCCGACCAGCCATGTATCATGTACTGTATAAATCGATCATTATATAAGCCAACATTATATATATATATTGTAGACAGTATATATATATATATATACACAGTATATATATATATATATACACAGTATATATATACCTTACGACTCGAAACCCTTAGAATTTGTAGGGTTCAAATCACAACCTCGGGTATTCTGACTTTGAGATAGAAACATCGGGTTTGGTTGGAAAACCCCGGGTATTCCTGGGGTCCCTAAGAATTCCAGCTTCGGTCAATGCCAGCCCGCCTTCGCACAGGTTCTCGCTACAGATGCTCTGGCCCAACACAGGGAAGATGGTTTATTTTGAATATATACATAGAACTGATATGGTTGATATCCCAGAAACCACGTCTTCTAACTTCAATTTGATACATGTTTGGATCTAACTCTATAGGCTCTCCACCGGCCATAGAAATATCTACCCTTGGTCCAAAAGCCTTCCAAATCCTCGGGAAGATATGATATATACCGATGATCAGCACAATAAACAACCAAGATGTAAAAAAGATAGCTACTTTCTTTTGCTGATAGCCTACATGGCTGCTCCAGCCCAGCCATCAATCCGGCTGGCGCGTCCGCCAGTCTTTTTCTCCGTGGCCGCTAGCGATCCATTGAGCCTGGATCTCAACATGGGCTTTGGGTCCTGCAGCGGGGCCGGTGTACCACAAACGGAGTTCGCTTTGAAGAACACATCAACTAACTGGAATCACATTGACAAGAATTAAAGGGGATAGCGCTGGCAAGGGGATAGTGTGGAAACTCACCAACTTGTGGCACCAATCGGCGTTGTGAGAGACATGTGCACGCGCACCAATTGCATGTGTGCCGCAGCCACGGTCATCGCGAGCACACGTGCAGCTGCGTTGCTCACCCTGTCGGGACAATGCCGGGCAAGAAGGGCGCGGCGGGCTCGGCGGGCTCTGCGGAGGAGATCGAGATTTTGGATGTCAAAGGCATTGATTGCTGAAGAATGGGACGCTTCAGAGGACATCAGGGAGAAACTTAGGGATGGCCGGCCCCTTTGCGACCCAGATGGCCGTGACAGTGTTCAAGAATGTTGTGCCGTAGTTTCAATCTTGATACCTGTTTTGACCCGGATGGCAGTCATGAACACTAAGCCTTTGCCTCCAATTGACGATTTGCGGGCAGAGGTTGAGAACCTCATGGCAAAAAACAAACGGGGGGAATCAGCCGAGATTACAAAAGAAATTGTTCAATGTTCATGGAGGGTCAAAAAGCTATTGGGCTTTGTAAAGATGAAAACACGCCGTGAAGAGGTGAGCACTGTTACTTGACCAAATCAGTCAAGCATGATGCAGTTTATTATTTTTGCATTTTCGCAAGGTTCGATCTCTTTTAATTTGATGCTGGAATATGTTGGGGTATGTTGCAATTCCTGAGCCTGCCTTTGATCACCATGAGGTTGAAGCATTCCAGAACATGTGTTTGATCCTGAATCCTTTACTTCAGGCGGGGTCGACACAAATACAGGCAGTATACGCAACCAATATTCAAAGAACAATTGCATGTGCTCAGAAACCCTTTTATCTCCATGTCCGGTTTGACATTATACCTTTCAAAAATTATTTGGTTGAGACCTTATGTCTATCGGCAACCGTTTTCCAGGGCACTGTCGACGAAGTGAACGAGAGGAGGCGCTTAAGACGTGCTGCCAAGGAGCACATGTACATGGGTTGTGTGAGCCTGCGTGTGTATGTGCGTGTTAAATTGTATATATACACAGTCTTGAGTATACATGTCCTGTGTCATGGCTGATGTGCATATAGTCGTTGGGATCCACTAAGGCAAATGCACATGTTTGGAAGTAACTTCGCTTGACCCACTTGCTTCCTTCCCTTTTTTTCCATCATGCATTTGTGCCCGATGCGTCAATCATCAAACCCCGTTTCTCTTTCTCTCTTGTTCTATCTCTGTCCTACCCATTCCCCACGGCCAGTTCGTTTTGTGCAGGAAAATGCTGAAGAAGAAGAAGAGGACGAAGATGAGTGGGATGAGCAGGGACAAGAGGACTTACAGGAGGGTAAGCATGTTGAAGGTCCAAGTGATGACGCCAAAAAAGATGAGGATGCATGCGAGGATCAGGTTGAAAAAGACCAAGGCAAGGTGTACAACCCGGAGAGTTGTAAGGTAGAGGCCAACCAAAATGAAATTGATGTTGCAGGAAGTGTTGGACATGAAGTTCCCCAGTCCCAAGGACACGGTTCAGATCCAGGATTCCAAAACAAACACCCGGTAGGTTCCGAAGTGAAGATGAAGCCCGACCAGCCCCCAAAAGGAAAGACAGAAGAGGCAAAAGAGCATGTTCACAAGCCTGAGCCCTCTAGTGTCTTGGTTGCGTTCCATCGGTTCTGCAAAAGTCATCAGGCACACACGCATTATATTCTTTAATTTTTCCAGATGCACAAACAAACAGACGCGCTTATGCATGCACGTACCAATCAAAAAATAACTGTTGACCCTGTTCTTATGTAATATATTCCCCATAATTGTTTGCAAAATCCAATACATCCCAAACAGCGATGTGAGGCACCCATCAACCAGAAGACCTTAGAAAAAAGAGGGCAGAAGTTATGGCCAGACTGGCTGAGACTTTGGGCAGCAATATACTTCATGCGTCAAGTGCTATTTCAACTCCAGAAACCAACAATAACAATTTAAGAAATGAAAAAAAATGTAAAGATGCCGTTTTTGATTTGTTTGAACAACATGACCACATAAAACGGTAAGGTCACCTTTTTGGTTAGCCGGCCCAGGATCAAAGCACAGAAAGAGGCGGCCAAGAAATCAGCTGGAGAAGTTGAAGCACGGCAAATTACATCACCTCCAATGTCTGGGGAGACAGGTGCCTAAACAACCGGGGTGCCCGTTTCCTCAGCTTTGTGTGAATTTGTATTTTTTGAACATTCCCAAAATACCAGGCATGAACACACACATACATGTAAAATGCAAAACTATATGCCACTGTCACTGTCACTATCACAAACTATATAGTTCAAATAGAAAGGTATAAGAAAGGTGACGGTACATTGGAGACACCAAGTTTGAAAGGATGACCTTTTGTTTTGACTTTCATATGTTTCTTCTTTGGTGCTTTCAGCGTTTTGTTGGAGGCCCTCCAGGTCAGCTTCCTACGGCCGGAGACAATGCTGAGACCCTTCCGTTTGATGTTGTTGCTGCTGCGTCTCCAGTGTGCTCAACACCACTTGTGTCGCCCAACCATGATGCAGAGGCAAAACGCAATGCTTATCAGCAGAAGTCGCAACTATCATCAACTCAAGTGCCAGGCGAAGCAGGTGAACCAAAGCAGGAAGAAACCAGGCATGACAAACCAAAGGATGAAGAACAACCGGTTGAAAACATGAACAATGCAGAGAAAAAAACACAAGCAAAACCACCCACTGCGAGCGAGTTCACCAGCAGTGATGAGAATGAGGCCAGGTACATGTGCACTCTACTTCTTGAATGTAACAATGCAACATGCACACGTGCACACGTGCACACACTCACACTCAGATCCACTGCCCCAGACTTACCTGCCAGGATCCGCCACCAGCCAAAGTGACGCGCAAAGACCAATTGGATGCGAAGGGAGAGGAGCCAGGGCGGGGTCGCGGTAGAGGCAGGGGCAGGAGCAGGGGCAAAGGAGTTGCCAAAGCCAACGCAAAAAGTTCATCATCAAAGGGCCTCAAGAACCCAGGAAAAACTGAGGAAGGAGACGGTGAGAATTTGGAGGTGGATGAATGGGAAAGTAAGGAATGGCAGTGGGAAGATGAGTATGTTTGGACGGATGAGTATGGTTATGTGTGGGTGGGTACGGAGGAAACAGTCCCAGAGAAGGAACCCAAAAAGAAGAAGCCACGCAGAACCACCAGCACTGACCCAACAGCTGCGTCAGCCACAACGGAACCCAAGAAGAAGAGATCCCGATCCAAAGCGGACCATGAGAAGAGTGCGCCAGCCCCTCGTGAAAAGAAGCAACGCAAAGCGAACAATCCCAAAGCAAGCCCTGAGCATGGCCTCCTTCCCCCAGCCCCTGACACCGAAAAAGAGATCAAAAAAGAGATCTATGACTTCCTTTTGGAGACCCGGACCTTGACTCAGCTCAACGCCAAAGAACACCTTCGAAAGTTGGTTCCAGAGTACAAAGTTTTGGGGTACACGGCTAAGTTGAACATCTACTGGGTGAGGAGAAAAGTGCAAGGAGTTGGGGTTGGAATCACATCCATCACTGAAGGGCAGGACGTAGGTTTCATTGGCTTCAAGCCCTTGTCCCCCAATTGGATCACGGCCATTGCCGCAGCTATCAAAGCTGGGGATATCTTTGCAGCTTTCTTGCACACTGATTGTGGTGTTGCAGTTCTAACATTATATCCTCTAAGAGCGCGTTCATGGTTTCCAGGGTTGAAGGATGGTCTCAAAAAAAAACAAATACAAATGCATGCGTGGTCACTATATAGTCACTAAATATAAATAAAGTGGATATATCTTTAATCTGGTTGAGTTTGTTTTCCCATTTCTGCATGTCCTGTTCAGCCGCCTAAGGTACGCTACCTCAAGCAGTATGAAGCCGACCACCCGGATTCCGAAGTGAAACTTCAAGCCAATGACGAGGTGAAGAACCAGAGAGAAGTGATTAAGACTGGCGGGAGGAAAGCGGTGATCAAGTTTCAGAAAGATTTTCCAAGCCTGATAGACGAAAATCAGGATAGCTAATCTGGCAAAACCCCAGCAATTTGGAAACCATTGCCATTCGTGCTTGCATGCACGGTGTGTAAATTCACAATGGATTATGGGGGCACACCTGTAGCGCAAGCTTAGGGCTGGCAGTGCAATACATTTGGGCGACCAAGCTCTTAGCACCCAATGCCAAATGTTGCAGAAATTCGCAATAATCAACAATGTTAATTTGTTGAATTTGTTGTCCAATACTTTTTGGGGTCCAGTACCAATTCAATATATCCAATTTCATCCATCAATGCGTGTTTATCACACTAAAGGCGTTGCGGTGTGACAACAACTGGGGGTGTCTTTTGAACTTGCACTGGCTACTGTGCGCAAGCGACTGGTTTGGTGGGGAGGTCGGATTCTGAAATTCTGAAGGCAGTTCATTGCTCAAACAATGGAACAATAAATATACGGTTTACATCCAAACAATTGATGGCACCGCATCTTGTCGGCACATTTTGCAACTGTTTCTTCCCACCAATGACATCAAACCTTGCTGGGCCAAAGAGCGTTCGGTCCTTGAAGCCAGCGTTGATCAGCACATATGATGTGTGCAACCTCGATCTCCGAAGTGTGGGCGTGCAAAAATAGTAACAAAGGGTCAGCTGGACAATGCCTGCACCGGTTTTTTTTCACACAAATTGTGGTTTGTGGTCATTATTCCCCCTTTTTAAGAGCACATCTGATCTACGTGTGCAATTTAACAACGGGGAGAATGTTGAGGAAAAATCACTTTCAACCGATACAGCTTCCTCGATTTCGCTACATGATTGGAAAAGAGCCTGCAATGGACCATCACTTAAAATTGAAAGATTGATTCGGAAATTGTTTCAGCATCACCTTAATTGATATACCACATGACTTTCAGTTTCTGGCGCTGGTTTCTGAGGCCATGCCCTTCAAACTATCGGCGAAGGACCGACGGAACTTGCACCAAGTCAAGCAGTCGATGGTGAAAAGTATCCCCAGCATGTTTGTTAGTGCGGCGCAATGTGCACACTCTGCATGAGTATATAGATATAAGTCATGAGCAGTCAATAGAATCAAAAAGGGCTATATCCATTCATTTTTCCCACGCTTAAACTACCACACCGTCCTTTTGCGATTCAACTTCGACGGTTCCGGTGAATGCTGGTGGGGTGTATTGAGCAACTGCTTTGGCTCCAGAAACATGGACAACAATGGGTGGTAGGAACACACTTATATATAAATGACCTCTATATCCACAACCACTTTCACAAAGGGAACAAAACATATGCCACACCGGACGCTTCAAATTTGTTTGGCTTCATAAGCTTTGGATTCTCTTATCCTGTCTCCGCGTAGAACCAGTCTGAGCCATGTTGTGTCTCGACTCCCTCATATGGCGCTTAAGAGCGATTGGTGCACCCAAGGCTTGGGACATTGATACAATGCATGCAATCTATATAGGACACTAAAACCCTTCTAATGTTAAATTGGTATTAGTTTTTGGATGTTTTTGGAATGCCAAAAACATTTCCAATTATTCCCAGTGATGACCAATTACCACACATGATCAAGGTGCCAGGGAACAGGCCAGTAATTAATTGACGATCCCCCATACGCCATTCCGGTTCTGGCCCAGCTGCGCTCATTGCGGAGGCTTTCGCCATGTGCGTCCTCCTCCTCATTTGGACGTACGACACCACCCAGGCGGGGCCGGTGGACGCCCATGAGTCATTGTTTACATGTAACTAACGGCTCCTTTCTTCTATATATATAACATTAATGTTTCATTGCAGGAAGTTGAATGGATCGAGTACTTTGCGGGGCTTGGCAACGTTAGCTTGATGATGAGAGCAAGTCACTATACCAGTTTGCGTTTTGACCTGCTGGACAATGAGAAACCTCCACACAGATCATCAAACTTCATGGACCTCTTGCATCAAAGTGGTTTTGGGTTCCTAGAATGCGCATTGTTGCCCAAAACTTCGATTGATCATTTAACGTGTTTTCCAACAGGGTTCTGGAATAAACCATGTCCATATGAGAGGTGTTTTCACAAGTATATTTGTCCATAAACATCATGGCGTGTACATGCAGCCAAGGCTCGCAATTCTAGCGCTACTGCGTTGCAAAGAGGGTGACTTCGCCTGCCACTTTGGGATTAAGTGTTCAAGCTTTTGTAGAATCAACGTGGGTACATCACGCAGAACAGCTTGCGGTGCACTGGGCTACGTAAAGTTTCAGTCAGTGAAGAACGGGAACGGGCTGTTGGAAAGGACCATAGATGTGATTCTGTCCAAATTATACATCTTCAAAACAAATGAAATATGTTTCCGTAACATGGATCATAAACCTTGATTGACCAGAATCAAATTTCCAGCATATAACCATTTTCCAATTGAAAACGGGGTTGTAGGACTGATCATGCAACATCATCATGCCGGCACAACCTGATTTCCACAAGTTGCCCGGCAATGTGCCGCAGGACAGCATTGATGGTGTTGTTGGCCACGGTTTTGGGGGGATGCTGGTCATTGGAGCAGCCGGGTGGAAGTCTCCTTGAATACTACCCCACATGGAGGATGGTCATCAGAAAGGTATTCGAATGGGGCGGCCCATACGCCGTGCTACACTTAGTTTTAATTGTTTTTTCCAGACCATGATGGAGTTCTTGGTTGGAATGCACACCCCAAAGTTTCCAGTTGATGGTATTGAATCCAAATCAGGTACAGGTCGTACGCTTTTGGATGGCCCATTACAAATCTATGACGAGCAAGCGACACTATTGCTATTCCAACAGTCCAGAAATCTTAAAGTTTGACAAAGGCGTCTTACCTCGAAATTGGAACTCTTCCAGTTCAAAGGTGGCCACTGCCCATCATTACGTTGACAAGAAGGGCAAGCGGAGATACAAGGGCACCAACAGCCTCAAGAAAACGGAGAGTCACGATTGTGATTATAATGACTAAAAGGTTTTGTTTATTTGTACTATATTTTGGATGTATGGGTTTACCTGGTAATTGCATCTAATGGTTTCGGGTCCTTATACTATATATATTCAACCCATAAAATTTCTATATTGCCACATGTACCCAACACCAAATTCCGTGCCAAGCATGCCTCAGGCAATACCCGATGCCCTTTGCCAGGGCTTTCTGTGACATGAAGGAGGCCATGAAACGATCCAGCAGTGGCCGTCCTCAGATTCCAGACCCTTTGCCACCAGCAATGCATACGCTCACTGTTTTGCAGTGGGAGGACACTGACTTTTGGGAGTTCGCAGACCTACCAAATTTCTACGAATACCTACCAAATTTCTACGAATACCTTAGGGGCTGCAAATATCTTCGGATTCCTGAATTGTGGAAGCCACATTTCCCCAAAACTCTCTCCTAGGAGGTTGCTGGAAGGACAAAACCCTGAAAACACCATGATTGGACATATTTTTGGTACATATTTCAACATTTTTTGAAATTGTTTCAACAGGTGCATGGAAAAGTTCGGGTGTAGATGTTTTGAAAAAATTCACCCGTATTGAAACCGTATTAACCCCGTATTATACCCGTATTACCCCGTATTTTCCTATGGAAACCTGGGGTTTTCAAGGGAAACCCCGGGTTTACCCTAACCCGTATTGAAACCGTATTAACCCCGTATTTATCCGTATTAACCCCGTATTTAAATATGGGGTTCTAACCCTTCCACCAGCTTCATTTTTGGAGAGATTTTGATGGGAATAATTCAACCGGTATCGTTTGCAGCAGGATTTCCTGCTGCTTTTGTCATTGGTGCTCTGTTCCGAACTTGGGTGGTATTAAATGGTATCGCCGCAATTCATTGACATGAATGAGTCAATTCGCTTTAGTGGGAAAATGTTATTGCATCGTTGAATGGCTAGCGCATAAATGGTCAATCCTTGACGGAACATGGGTTGCAAGCACGTGCGCATGAGTCAGCTGTGAGAAGTTATTTTTTTGCATGTGCACATCGCAAATTCTCGCAAACTTTTTGGATTCAGTTGCAAAACACTTGGTCTTCCCATTGCTTCTAAAGGGGCAATGTCGTCATCAACCATGGTTGGCTGGAGTTGCGGGACTTTGCGGGATGGTGTTAATGAGATGGACCTGGATCTAGAAGAACAGCGGCTACTGAAGGAGATGCAGGCCTCCCACTGATTCATACTGTGTGCAAATTCATTCAACCATACAGTGGACATGTGCGATGGAAACGGACAACCATGATATATATATATATATATATAATCATGCATATATAAACTTAAACCAGTACAATTTATATACCATGGATCTATATTGCATATATATATATATATACGCTAATTGTTCTGAACAGGATATCGACGATCAGATAGCTGCAACTGATGCTCCATTTGAACCATCGGGTACCGCAGTGGCCTAAGACAGATGCAGTACTGAAACCAATGGTTCCAGCCTGATGATGGTTTCTGTTGCAATCAGCTAGTTCAAGCTGCATGCCCGCAATAAAGAGTTTTGCAAATTTTCATTCCCATTTTTAAGGCCTTGGCTCCAGAATCTATCGGGTCTGCGGATACTTTGCCAGCCAAGGTCTCAGAAACATCCGTCACCCCATGTAAGAATTGTTTGTTTTCGCCCAGATGCTGCTTTGAGGCAACTGATGCTGAACTCGCAGAAGCTGGCGTCCAAATCCTGAGATCTTCGGGCCCAGGGAATGATACTTGCATGATCGTGCATGCCAATCTTTTATACTTGGACATTTCAGATTGATACTTTGCTGACCATTTTTTCCATAGACTGAAAGTTTGAATCACCCTCGCACCAACGGTCTATGATTTGTATGTCTGAGGATGTTGACCAACAGAAGGTATCTGAGCCTCAGAATGCTGTACCTATCGCTACACCGGTGAGAAACACCAAGTTGGATTCCCCGATGAAAGAAGAACAGAGTGTGACGAATCCTGAGAAACCGAATGTGGATGTTGTGGATGATACTTGTGAATCAACTATGGCTGATGGTGGTGCACCAAAACCCAAGACCCCTGAACTTCCAGAGGAAGATAAGCAGGCTGCGCCAGTTCAGTCCCCACAGCCCGCCACCGTGAATCCACCTCTTGCTGAACAAGCTGACGCCCAACAACGCAAGGCGATGTACAACATGTGCCATGATACCAAACATATCATTTGATGCATTCCATACGTTCCATATATATGATGTTTTCTTTGCAGTCATATTTCATCTTATACTCTGCAATCTGATGTGTATAGACCCCATGCAGTCCTCATGCCCTCATGCTCAACTATGTGCAGGCGAAGCTTCACCTTGCGGCCAAATCCAGGCTCAACCGCTGGGTGAAACCTCATGCGCGTGCAAAGCACTTGGACGCACCGGAGTGGTTGGTCAAGGAATGGCGTGAAGGAAACAAAGCTGACATCGCAGCGCTGCTAGCGCACCACAATTTCAACAAGGATCGCTTGTGACTTCCTACTCACAAATGAGCTGAACCACTTTTCAAGATGATATCATAGAATCATTTCTTAATCCTCATGACCATGTTGCACATGTACATGTATGGTATCCCTCGAAAGTTGAACCTCGATTTATTTGTATATAACAAATATGGAACCATGAGAACTGAATGGACCCATTCGTTGTGCAGGAGACTTTCCTCTCGAAATTGCTGATATCGGTGAAGAAACAGCAGAAAATCGAGTTGACCAAAGAGCAGGGCTGGTACTCTGAGAGCGAGCTGTCCGAGTTGGGGTGGAGTCAGTCAGATACTCATATCACTTAACCTTGTTCAACCATTTCTATGATTCGTGCCAAAACCAATTCTTTTGAACCAATGGGTATTGTGTTTCATCAGGAACCGCATTCGGGGAGCGAAAGAGAAGTGCCAAGCCCTTGGATCAGCGTTCTTTAGGCCACATGGACTTGAGCACACACCTCCAACATTTTTCAGGAGTGACAATATAAGCATCATTGCATGGTAATATATGCGCTTCCAACCATTGGTAGGAAGAATCAATACGATGGCCTTGACGAGTTTTGGGTGACGGTCAAAGAAAAGGGCAAGAAGGTTGAATCCATGACCTACGAAGAGCTTCACACAAAGGAAGCTGAGGCCATCTGGGAATAAAGATTTCAAGCATCAAGTGAAACCCAAAGTATATAGTCACCGGAAGGTTTTGAATCCTGCGCAGGCCAAAGAAGATCCTACTTTCAACATGGGGGATGAGAAGTTCGGCATGATCGACGCTCAAGCAGCTAGGACTGATGCGGCCCGCAAAGCTGGTGATGCCAACCCGAAGCAGCAGAGCAAGTATGCGCAGGCACATATCAAGCAATCCTTTATGTTGGTGCATGCATTTGTTTCAAGGTTGGAACATGCTGGAACTATCTATCAATCAACATTCTTTCTTCAGTCCGAACCTTTTATTTTAGTTCGACCTGGCAGTCCAAAGAAGCCTTGAAGAAGGTGATGGATGCGTTGATTTCCAGAACTGGAAAACTGAGACAATTGGTCAGGGAACTGGAGTCGAAGTATGATGATCCAGCGGCAGCAGCGTACATGCCCCAGTATGTTCAAACAATGTTGGGCATTATAGTCAGCCATGTTCCTCCATATAGTTTCTCCAAGAAACATTTTCGCTCCACGGGTCCCTCTCCAGTCTGAGTACTCCGTGATGCTCCGCTTCAGGTGCATCAACTCCTTGAAATCGCAGGTGGCCAAGGTTGACGGTGCTTTTGACAAGTGCAGCACTGCGTGGTGTACCGGTGAAGCCGAGGGGTTTTTCACAGACAAGCTTCTCATTTTAATTTCAATTGTAATGGACGTCCAAAGAAAAACGAAAACGGACCATTGTTTTGATTTCGTCGATCATGCACGTGTGACATGCGCATACTACTAGATCGATCCTAAGGTTCCATGCAGACGCCGAAAGAGTCATGAAAGAAACCACATACGTGTCCAGTCCTCATTTCGAAATTTCTTCAGTACATATAGCATGCAGTTTCCAGCTTCCAACCACCATTGGAATGCAGCCGATCCTTAGATTGAACCAAGGGTTTCTTCAGCGAATGGAGTGGAGATGAAGATCAGGACAGGTGTGCACTCATCACAGCAGCACAGTTGAGCAAACCTGTTTTACTTACATACAACATCCTGCTCATTTGCACTAGGTATCACTTGATGAATCTTGATGACCTATCATCCAACATGCACACGCTTGACTGACGCACTTCAACTTTCAAGATGCTTGCTGTACAATTCCCAGTTTCAGAATCTTCTTGACCTATATCGATTAATGCATGATCTGAAGTATTGCTTTTGAATTTCAACTTCACAAACGGCTTTAACCAATTCAGAATAGTTGCCGCCAGGAATGCTAAGAAGTACTACAACAAGCGCAAAGCCGGAGATGGCACTGAGCCTGGGGAGACCGATGGGGAAAAGCCGCCAAAGAAGCCAAAAACCCCAGGTTCCAAGGCAAAAGCCAAGGCCAAGGCGAAAGCTGGGGCCAAGTAGGTTTTCTTACTATGTGACATGTAAGCATCATGTCCAATCTATGCGGATGAAATCTAATCCTGTATCACTGTGTGGCCAGGACATGCAGTGCGAACTTTTGGGGTAGCTGCAACGCAAACATCCTGGTATGTGCGGTTCAAATATCATGTATCATACTGATCATTCATCCCCTTAACAATTAATAACAGTATATATGTATACATGTTATTGTTTCGCCAGAATTGGCCCAACATCGGTGGAACCAAGTCAGAACCCAACCGGGAGATGCGCAAACGGCTGGCTATATTTTTGAGATAGCCAATTTGCCTTGTGGTTTTCACTACAAGTTAGATGTTCGCGATTGAGAGACAAAAGGCAACTGACAAAAAGTGCAAATCAGAGATGCTTCAAATTTGCCCATTCCACCACCAAGAGTTTTTGAACAACCCCAATTTATATACCCTATATAGATTCATGTTTTACACAGACTCTTCCACCCCCGCCACATGACAGGTCGAAAGCCAGGCCACACGATCCGCGGTTTGGCCAAGCGAGTTGGCGAGGGAGTCAGAAGCTCAAAGAGCATTGCCAGTGTCAGCACTGCCTGGGCTTAGCGTGCATGATGGCTACTCCGAAAGAAGCATCGGTTCAAAGTTCAACAGTGTATATAGTCAACCAGCAACAGCATTTATTTCCCTTAAGGCTGGGGTCGTACACCGCAGCACGACAACATGGACATGCACCGGCTCCCAAAATCAGTGCCCTTATATGTTTTATTCATTGTAAAAAAGAGTGCCTACCAACAACATTCAAGCAGCATATCAACTCCTTGAATGTGGTTGCCATGGAGGATCCGGAGGATGAACTGCTAGATCTTCTGACGTGTCATAGATCCGAATCTTGCCTCTATAATATATACATTTGATTGGTACTTCAAGCTTCAAGTCGACAAAATATAACTGTACATCGATGGTTGCTTGCGTGATCGGAGTACACCAAGAAGAGTCCACAAACCAAACATCCACGTGTTTTTTGGTGGGGAGGAGTCATATATCCTGCATATCGATTGAACTTTTGATGTTGATGCTTAAGTGGAGACTACCATGTGCTACCCAGAATTGATCGGTGCATTGTTCGCAATACAAACTGACCAGGATACTACAATGCCATTTCCGTGGGCAAAGGGGTTGCAGTCAACATCTACTCCAAGAACTGTGAAACTTGTTCCAGTTGGTGGTGATGCTGATGGCAAACGGCTAGGGGTCCACCGGTTTATGGGAGCTACTGACCAGCCTTGGTTCGAAGACTTGGGACATCCTTGCCGGTCTTTGGGGTGCATTGACTTCCAGGCGCCCAAACTAGGAATTACTGCGGGGCGTGTTCTTAAGCACGCCTCGCGGGTCTTGGAAACCATATTTGCTAAGAATGATCCATGCATCTTCAAAGTTGGCCTGACTCACAACCCTGCTTGGAGATGGTCAAATGATATTTTTGGATATCAAAAAGCCCGTGACGGTTGGACAAACATGACCGTCGTCTATGTATCTCGCGAGCCGCATTCTGTGGCTATGCTAGAGGCATCACTAATTGACAAGTATGTGAGAATCTTGGCTGTGCATTGCCCTCTTCACCTTTGTTTATGCGCATTTATTGTTTAATATATTTTGTTTCTACATGTATATATAGTATATATATATAGTTTCTAAACTTTCATCACCATCACAATTAAATGTTTGGGTTCCAAGCTTCCCAGTCTCATCCAGGCCGTCCGGGCTGCCGCAATTGCGCAAGCGGCGGTGACAATCCGCCATGGGCAAGTGAGAACAGCTGGTATGTGACGTATGTTGTATTTAGATCCTTCAGGTATCCGCCGCCTATCCCAAAACGGGATGGTACTGCCGGGGCTTGAGTTTGTTCTCGCCCTAAAATTAACAATGTGGCTCAGGGGATTCCGAAAGGCAAAAAAAATATCCATCTGCACGGGTGCATTTTGATGCAGCTTTTCCAGCAACATATAATTTTACTAACAGCAATGGCTGTAACATGTAAGATCCCATTTTTTGCAACGCCAAGAGTTGACAAGTTCAACCCATACAATCCCTGTCAACTTGTGGCCCACTCATAGTTGAAACAAACCTTTGTCCCTTTCATTAATTAAAATTGTTATGTGCCCGCTGCGTGCTAAGGCGTCTTGCCGATCGGCAATCGATGCTGCCAGAAATGTGATGAAAGACGTTGGTCCTATTGCTGCTGCTAGATCAGGGGGGTTGTCTGACCTGGCAAAAACATTAGACAACAATTCAGAAAGGGATTGCCATACCATCATGACCAAGAAGTTCCGTTTAGCTTTGCCAATTCGAACCTCAATTCTGAAAACAGAAGATACATCAGTCGAGATACCGATTCTGAAAATGAGAACCTGGATTGATTTCATGATCAAGAACAATTGCTGGCATATCCTCACAGGTTTGGTTCGCCCGGATGAGGAAAGGGAAAGATCAATCCTAAGACAATTTTGGAATGATTTCAAACAACAATTTCCTGGACATCAGATTTTCCAAATGGCTGATCAAACTCAGCTAGAGGCAACGGCCCCGATTTGCTTACACGGTGATGAAGGACGAGGTCAAAAACATAAGGCCTTCCTTGTCTTATCATTCCGAAGCATTTTGGGAAGAGGATTGAATCCTTCAGAGGTGGACAAGCGTGTGCGTCGGGTTCGTAAAGAATACCTGAAACAAAAGTGCAACTACAAGGGTCACTCCTTTACATCCCGTTTTTTGATTGCTGGTGTGAGGAAACAGGATTACACAGGCGCGAACGACCACGTCTTCACTTCTCTCATGAAACACTGTGCGGAAGAGGCCCATTCGATGATTACAACACCGTTCTTGGATCAAAAGGGTGGAAAGCGATGGGCAATGCTGATCTTCATAACTGGGGACTGGCCTTTCTTGCACAAGAGCGGAGGATTCCTTAGGAGTTTCAACAATGTGATGAAGAGACAGAACCAGGTTGCGGCACGAGGGATTTGTCACCAATGTATGGCTGGAACACCAATGGTGCCATTCGAACAAATCAACACAAAGAGACCATGTTGGAAAACCACGGAATTCACAGAGGATCCGTTCATTACCCCAAGCCCTTTCCGTTTGATTCCTCATGTACAAGATCAGCTTCCAGCTCTTTGGACCTTTGACCTGTTTCATTGTTGGCATCTTGGCGTAGCAAAGTGCTTCATTGGTGGAGCCCTTGTACTATTCACCATGCAGGAAAATCATGGAAATGTGGACGACCGATTTGCAGCTGTAAGTGAGAAGTACCAACAATTTTGTACGGCCAACGGCTACAGAGCACACACACAACGGATCACGAAAGAGCATTTGAACTGGACAACCACTCGTTGCTTCCCAGTTGGGGCATGGCACAAAGGAGAGTTGAGTACAGTTCTGATGCGTTTCATCGAGGATTACTTGGTTCAAAACCATTTTCCTTCAGAGCCTTTGTTGAAAGGGGTCAAGGAAGCCGTCATTGCGATCAACCAGTGCTTCAGGAGGATGTACCGGTGTGATTTGTGGTTGTCTCCGGGGGAAGCAGGTGAAATTTGAGGACAAGCTTTTCGTTTTTTGAGAAGATACGCGGAGCTTACGGAGCAATCAAGTTTGCGAGGAATGAACCTTTTTTCTCTGACCCCAAAGATCCATGTGATCCAAAAAGTTTTTTTGAGGGTTCACACAGCTGCCAGTTCAAACACGAAGTGTTTGAACCCGCTTGCTGTAAGCGTACAGCAAGATGAAGATTTCATAGGACGCCCTAGTCGATTATCTCGTAGGGTGACGGGGAGTCGATTGGCGTCTGAAAGGGTTATTCATAGGTACCTCCAAGCCTGCCACCCACAGTGGATTAAAGCGGGATACTTGGTAACAGCCAATTGATCTGAGAACGGTTGTTAGACTTTGTTGAAATATCTACTGTGATCATCCGATGTAATCTATACCCAGAACATATTATCAGATTTGTTTGCCGAGCATGCCTCTAAGATCATTCAGGCTGGAGCCGTGGCGGATGGGAACGGAGTCAGCGGCAAAATGAAGAAACTTCTTCAGGTGAACCACATCTCCAACGGGTTCTTCATAACATATTTCACTTCCAATCCAACTTGATGAATTCATCAAAATCACCAAATTTGGAAACCCAGGGTTTCCTTGAAGAACACCGGGTATCAAACCCAACCCTACGTTTTTCCAGTGTTTTGATGCTTAGGGTATATATATACAGTGTGTATATATATATATATATACAGTGTATATAAATATATATACACTGTATATACATATTCTATCGTGATGAAATGATGAAAAAAAAACATAAAGTTTGCCATACTGGAACGTTGATGCCCACTGGCGCCGCAGGAGCCTTTTCACGGAGACCTTGGAAATGTACTCCACGAAGTCGGGAAAGGAAATGCTCTGCTTGCCTCCAGTCCCGTACACTGAACTCACGATCAGTCCTGACATCTTCCGATTGACTAGGGATTTATAATCTGTTAGTGGGATATGATGGGAAATATCAGCAGCATTCATGATATTTGGGTGTGTAATGCGTCTCATCCCCAGCACCGGAAGCCTCCAGCGATTTCATCCATGACTTCGTCCACCGTTTGGCCGTTGGGCAAAACCTCCACCAAGGGTCCTTCTCCTGTGCGATGCATGGCTTTCTAGTTTCAAAATCCGCCCGCACCGAAGGTGCTGGGGCGTGATCGTCCGGATGGCACTCGTAAAAGGTTACAGGTTTACCTGGGGGGGGGGGGCCATTATTCGGCCAAAACCTCCTGTTTTTGATAGGTCGTGACGCTCGCCTTCAAAAAACACTGTAAAAAACAGTACGGAAGACACCTGTTCGTGAACGCGCCCGTCCAAAATCGGCAAGCGAAAAGTGAAAAAAACCCGTGTTTTTCAACTTTTTGACCTCAATTTTTTGGTTTGCAACATCTTTTTTTGCGGTTCCGCAGGTGGCCTGGCCCGGAGGCGGATTTTTGAGTTTTTGGACCCGTTTTCGGACTGATTTTCGTCGTTTTGTGATAGCAGAAACACTGGTTTTTACAGTGTTTTTCTGTTTTCTGCATGCTTGACGGCTAGCTTCAAAACTTCCAAAAACCTCGTAAATTACGCTGTTTTATGTTACGGTGTGAATGAAAACATCGTAAATACCAGTGTTTTTTGACGTTGGTTAAAAAAACACTGTAAATTACAGTGTTTTTGGCCACCTGACCCTCAAAAACCATGGTATTTGCAGTGGTTTCTGCTTCTCACCGCGCAAAAACACTGTAAATAACAGCAATTTCGCCGTTTTTTCATGTTTTTCGCTATTTTTTGAACTGCGTTGGTCCGCTATACATGGCTATCAAATTCTTCGCGTTTTTTTTCCGACAATCAGTACTTTCGGATGTTTTTGGTCTCAATGGCCGACATCATTGGCAGTTACGAGCGGTCGCGAAGGTGTGAGAACAACATCGTTCAAACCGTGGCGGCCGCACAGGGGTTCTTGTCGCGGAGCGACGGCAATAGAAGAGAACAATGGCAGTAGAAGAGAACAATGGCTGACATCATTAACAGTGTGGACCGTTCACTCGATATGTACATATATGATCTTTATATATATATATAGATATATCATGATATATCTCTGCTGTGTGAGCCCAACGATGCGGTGCGGGCGGTTGCCGTCGCGAAGCGACGTGAATAGTCAGAGGAGTCCGAAAAACACTTTCCAATTCAACGAATTTCTGATTCTTGGACCAGTTACATGGGTCCCATGTAGATGGTATCTTATTGATAGGCATAAGGGCATATGGGGATCAACCGTATTGAATTGAGTAATGGTGATGTTGATGGGGGTCACTGATGTGGGGACCCCATGGGACCCCCAAACCCGCAAACTACAATCAATGACTCTCAAAAATGGGCGTTAGGTAAAACCATCATGGTGATTTTTGATTAGTTACTCATCCAATCCGTTTTTGCTGAACAAACATCACTGGGTCGGTCCGCGAAACCATGCTGTGCCTTAGCCCAAATACATGAGTAATATGCGGTTCCTTTATATGTTCTCATCCAACTGTGGGAAAATACGTTGCTTGCATGCTTATCCACCTGGGTTTGTCTCGAAATAAGGCATAGGCACCCAAAATACATTGGTCAATCGCAATTCGTCTTATTAGATCGCCACAATTGGGAGTATAGCGGGTCTGCATGGTGAATAGGGAAGCCCGCGAAATTTGAGGCTTTATCACCATTTTCCCTCTTAAAACTGATATTCTGGTTGATGGTTTCAACCCCCTCTGAAAAAATATTAGTCAAATGGGAGTATTATTCCCAATATATGGAAAAAAATGTTCCAAACCACCGACCAGTATTGGGTGTATATCCCGAAAATAAACCATCCCATTAACCATGTACGGGTCATTTTACATCCTGTCATTTCTAAGGGTATACTATACCCAATTTCATAAACCTCAAACTTGGGGATGGCTTATGATTGGCTTTGCCACATTATAAAACCACATGTCTCCAATAAAATTTATCATGGTTCTCCAACCGAAAAATAAGGTCCAACTTGGGGATAGTTACGCCTGCAAACCATCAGTACAGTGAGGTTGCAGCCTCCCCAAGGGCATCGCACCTGAGAGCATTACCCTAAGCTCGGATAAGGAGATCTGACCGTCCCCATCCACGTCGAAGACGTCAAAAGCTTCCTGACATGGGATTTTTTTTGGTGGTTTCATGGTTTTACAAGAGGACTTCAATGGGAATTGATGGGGGTTCAATGGTGTTTTAAGCATCAACAAATGGGAATCCGCTGGGGAGATTTGATGCAAGTATAGTGAGTGTCCGGGCGCATCGCTATCATTCTCAAACTTTTGTGTTGTTTCATATTGTTTTTTGAGAGCCGTATCCCAATTCTTGATGGCTTGATGGTTGAACATGTTAATTATGACAGTCTGACATTGATGGAATGGCTTCAAGATTGTCCTGATGGATAGATGATAGTAACTTAGTAGATGTTTCATCAACGGCTACGTAGCACATGTGTTTCAACACAGCCACCTTGGGGCGCTAAAAACTGCCGGACCTGGATGAGGGACTCGGGGACAGACTCCAGTCCAGTGGACAGCACCTCCAGGACTGGGCGAACGGGAAAAGTAACAAAACATCATTTCTGGTTGGTGGTTTCAACCCCTCTGCAAAAAATAAAAAGTCACTTAGACAGTCAGTTGAGATGATGAAATTCCCAATATAACAATTCTCAAATGTTCCAAACCAACCAGATTAGAGTTTATCCCTTGATCCTGGCCCAAGTTTTTTTTAGGAAGTAGTGGTTTATATATGTTTATATGGATTTATGATACATTGAAACATGAATTCAAAGTAAATGATGGAGTTCTTTCGCCCATCATTCTTGACAATGGCCAGGTCGATGGATTGGCTTTGTTGACATTTGTTCCATGCTAAAAATCATGCAACATCAACCGTTCAACCGGAAAAAACAACTGGGAATCTCGGTCAACTCAGTTGATCCCAAAATGATCAAAATAGATATACTACTTGGATATACTTGGATATACTTGGAATATCAAGATTATCCCAAGAGATATATCCAAGTATATTCACAAAGAGATGCTACTTGGATATACTTGGATGATCTTGGATGTGCATCGCAGCAATCCCCGACATCAAAAAATGTGTTTTTGCACCCGAAAAATATATATGGGGTTTTAGTAAAATCTAAATCTCTAGTCTCATGTCTAGGACAACCCAGGGGCGGCAGTAAGTAGTCATAGTTTGCCCTGCTTGTTGTAGCTGCTGTCAGTTCTGAAGCCGATTACACTGGGACGTAGGAAAGTATAAGTATGTAGTAGGGACACACTCTTTCACCCATGTGCTTCATGCATCGTATCCTTGCCAACATGGACCCAGAAATGGAAAAACATATAAGGAAACAATACATATACCAAACATATCCGGCGCTGTACCCTCAATCCAACAGCATCACTCGATGATGATCTCAGCCCAGGCGCAGCAGCTAAGAACTCCGTGTACCTCAACGTTGCCAACGCCAGCGGACAGTGATCAAAGGGGTCGCTGTAACTGCTCAGAATGAATATGACTCATATGACACCTTCTATGATTACGGGTGAATCAGCCATCAAGGCCTGCAACACATTTTCATAATATATATTTTGCAATTCAAATGGTAGGGAAATACAGTAGTTCGTGCGCCCGGTCCCTCAGCAGGGCACGAAATGCGTCCATTCTGGTCCATGTCCAAGATAGACATCAGGCGTTGTGGGTCCTGGCACATATGGATGTGTAGAGCAATGAGGCCCCACAGTAGGTTTTCAACAGGGTCGGAATCCCAATCAACTCCTAGGATCCTTGCTTGGCAATACCCCAGTTGTGTGTTTGGGTATAGTTTATCTTATCCCATCTCCATCTATGCTTACAGGTGAAATTGTGTGTATGACTCCTAAGATGCGATCAGTTGTTCATATGCTCAAAATCTTATGGTTGATTGATTATCATGTTCCATTGAAATTGAAAAAATGAAGTGAATTGCCGATTTTGAGGACAGACCCATATCTCATTGAAAGTCTCAACCTGGTCGAAAAATACCCTCATCAATTGCGATCACCCCAGGAAAATACTCAACACATGAAATATGTTGCAACAACCAAGCAGTTTTAATATGTATACAGCCATCATTATACATTCTTATGGGTTTGATGGTCTCGCCACTTTTGATGTTGCAGCTCGTTTTGGCCACTCTGCCTCCACGTCACGGGCTCGAGCTTTGAAACAAAATCTATTTCGACCGGTCAGGGAACGCTTCGCCGGTCAATCCGGTCACAGGTGAACCCGGAGATCATCGAAGCGGTCGCACCTGTGGATGTTTCATCCTCGGTCCATCAAAACTCACTTGGTCAGCTCCTTCAACCTCAGAGCTGAAGGGATCAGTCATTTAGAAAAAAAAAATGTAGATTCCCCACTAACCGCAGGAACATGCAAAATACGCCGTATGTAATATATATATATATTTATTTAAATAACATATTTACATACATATACGCATTGTATATATATATATATAATTATATATATATATTATACAATTATATACATATCCTCCGGCAATCAAACTTGGCAACTGGATAGCCTTTAAAGCGAGGATTCTAGCTGGCAAATTATCCATAAATTGGGAATTGCCCATGTTTCATTACCGGAGGGTATACATATACATACATATACATTACATATACGGTATCCACATTGATAACTAATCACTATTAATAATAATTAATCACCGAATTAGTTACCATTAATCACTGTTCATCATCATTAGTTACCGCGAATCACTATTATATATCCAGTGGATAGTTGATGCATATGTTTACAGGTCCAGGCAACTCACCAGGTGTAGGGCATGGCTTGAACTTTTCGTTTGTTCCGAAGGTGTACTTGCAGGCCGCTTTGCCCGCCACACGACCGAAAACAACGCAATCCTTGGAAACAAACACAAGAAAGCAACACAAACGAAAAAATTGAGGGATTGCCAAAATCATTGGGCATGGTGGCAATCCCCAAAGAACAAAACTTGTTGGTTTTTATGTATATATACTTGAAAATAACACTGGGCAAGTCCCGGTTCGGAAAACCAAAAGCAACGGATCCAGCAATCGGAGTGAAATTAAGAACAACAACTTAAAGCCCAGGATCCAGCAAGGAATTGCCACCCAAGCGGTTGTTGCCATGGATACCGCCCGCAGCCTCTCCTGCCACATAGAGACCTGGGATAACCTTTCCGCTCTTGTCGATGCACTCAGCATCAACGGTGCATTCCAGGCCACCCATGCAGTAGTGGATCACTGGAGTAATGATGGCAACCTGGAAATCTCGACAGACTTTTTGGACTTTGGGCAATGAAATTGTTATAAGTGTAGTGTTGTCATTGGATAATTTTCGCTATGCATGTATAAAACTACGGTATAAAACGCTAAGATTTTAAAGGAATTTAAAATATTTAATGATATTCTAATCCTAAATATCATTTGTTTTTCGTGCTGTCGTGTATCATTATTAGAATGGCAGTTATCCTGCGTTATCCTTTTTTCCCACCTGCTAGGTGAGAGTCTCTAGATTTAAACCAAAGATCCTGGTTTTCTCCTCTTCTTCCTCCTCCTTTGTCCTTTTCCTTGTCCTTCTCCTCGCCGGCTTCTCGCCAGCATGTCATCGCCAGCTTGTGTGCCACAGCCTTCTCCACACAGTTGCTCTAACTGCTCTTTGGGCAACCGAAATCAGCGTGCTGCCGCCAGAAGCAGGTTGCGGGGTGGAAATCCAGTCTTTTTTCTCCTTCACTCTGCTGACAAAATTCAAACTCACCCCTTGCAGTCCCAAAATGGAACCTGCGACAGCTTTGCTTTTGGAAATCCCCGCCCTTTGTACATTCATAGCGCCAAGCCAAGTCATGATTCCGCTTTTTCACTTCAAGTTTGCCGAGCTGTAGCATTGCCCGGCGGGCTCAGACGACAAGGCAGGCGGGAAGTGAAGGCTAGTGCCTTCAGCAGCCGCCAACTGTTGTAGCCTATACTCTTGAACTTTTGACCTACCATCTTCAAAATTGCATGAGTGGGTGCAAGCTTCACTTTTGTTACACTTCCAGCCATTTTGCAAGGACAAGCATGTGTAGGTTTCACCTTCCTCACCATTTCTGCGTCTGCATCTGCGTTGGCGAATCATGGGCCAAGTGGAAGCCGAGAGGTGCCGGCCATTGTTTTCCAGAAGCTTGACTTTGCGACCTGCTGCAGCGAAATTGAGCATGCCAACTCTTTTCTTGTGAGCCGAAGCAGGGGTACCCGGTTGTCGCTAAGGAAGCTTGGCCCAGTCCTCAGCGGAGCAATATCACGGTGATGCAACTCACGGTGACGGCTCTTTTCGTCAGAACTGATAGTCAAGGAGGCAAGCTGGCGCCGGATCAAGGCTCGGAGCTATTTGGATACGATCTCTGACAAGGAAACTGGTGTGTGCTATTTCATTGGTGCTACAACTTCCCGAAGCAAATCTTTAAGCCGCTGAAGCCGTTGACTTTTTGTTCGGGAGTAGTCCAATGGCAAACATTTGTACGTAGAGAATCTGACAAACACACAGGCAATAATGATTGCAGATGATTGAGATGATGCTGGTAATACTACTCATTGTCATCTAAATTTTCTCCATGAAAAATCATTGCCATTGTCTCGTGATAACTTCCAAGAACTATAACAGACTGAGTGCTACCAACGCGCCAGCAGCATGCTACTACCCTGGGCTCATAGCACGAATATGGGGTTGTCGAATCGGGTCATTGGGTCCTCTGACAGTCCTCTGAGCTCCAACCGGAACTCTATGGTGAGCCTTAGATAGAATGCCAAACAAAATGTCAGATAGAATGCCAGATGAAAAGTCAAACGGCATGTCAGAAGTATGTCACATAGAATGCCAGACAAAATATCAGATAGAGAATGCCAGGTGACATGTTAGATAGAATGTCAAATTATATGGCGGATAGAATGCCTTATGAACTTCAAGTAAAACGCCAGATATATACAATGCCAGATAAAATGGCAGATAGAATTATTTCAAATATATGTGAGATGAAATGTCTGACAGAATGACGGACCATAAGCTGTCAGGAAATATATATATATATGCCAGATTGATAAAATGTCAGGATACACGCCACGTTGGGGGTCAAACAAAGCAAAGCAAATTACAAACACAACAGTACATATTCACAACCTAATAATTTTTGGGCAAAGTCCCTGAGAATCATCGATTAAAGCGATTGCCCCAAGGTCACCCCAACAATGCACATTTGGATGTTCATGTCGAATACCCAGACACTACATGAGATGACCAACAACGAGAACTTGTATGGGCCTACGGGGTTTAAATCTGCATCCATCTACCGGACGCCAAAATGTTAAATGCAACTCCGGCAGCATCAGTGCTGAAGATTGATTGCCTTTATGTCTGTTTCCCCCATAGGTCCCTCATGACACCGCAAGCATGAAATACAAGCGATCAAGTATATGAAGTATGTTATATAAAGAGTTCTCGAGTTTCCCAAGTGGCGGCTCAGGATGTTTCAGCTGCAGCCTTCCACAATGGTGGTTTCCTAAAATGGGTTTACCACCAAATCATTCATTGTAATAGAATTTTCCATTTTAAACCATAATGAAACAGTTGGGCCCCCTGTCGCTTCAGCGATTTCTGCCAAGGAGCATAGAATGGCTCAGTGGCCACCTTGGATCCATCCTTAGCCGTCAGAAAGAACTTAGTTGCTGCGTGCTGGACCACGACACTGCATTAACCTCACCCGCTCTTGCAAAAAGTAACAAACAAATATCTTATATTCTCGGATAAACCCAATATTTTTAAGCTGAATTAACAGAGCTTTGGCATGCAAAACTGATGGTGAACAGCCACTTACCAGCTATGTTTCATGCAAGTGTTCCAAAGTTTTGATCTGCAGCCGTGGATCAAAATTTGAGGGCCAACCTTCCATGCTGGTCATTGTTTCCAATTTATCAAACCATACGTTTTTGTCCCGGAGGGGGGGGGGGCATCCCATGTTTTCAGCGGGAAATCCATGTAAAAACGCACCAAGTCTCCACAGCTTATGGCTATGATTTACCGATTGGCTTGGAGCAACCAAGATTCTGATGTGTATATTTAGATATGAATGATCTATTTAATGGCTATATATTGTAAATAGACATATGATTATGATAGCCACCCTGGTATTTATCATATGTCATGTTTATACTCGATATATATATATATATATACAGCATATATATATATTTATATTTATTTGTTTGAAATGAAATAGATTATAGCAATTCACGAACCTAAATTGAGGTCATGTTTCCTAACCACCATTCCAGTGAGTTCGCAGTAAGTCGTTATAATTTACCCTGATAAGTAAATCAATTAAACAAAACATACATGTGTCTAGGTATATTGAATATTATTCGTATGTGCATATTAAAGACTTATATCATATATATATATGTATGTATGTTACATATATATATATATATGGAATTTATATATATATATATGTAATATATATATATAATTAATATATATATATATATATATATACGGCCAGGCCCCTTGTGTTGCCCGGAGATTTACAGGGACGTTCCCGGCATGTTGATGATGATGATGATGATTGAAGATCTTCAATGAATGTAAGAGGTTAACGGAGTTGGGGGAATTAAACCCTTATTGAAGATCTTCAATGAATGTAAGAGTTTAACGGGGGTGGGAGAATTAAACCCTTATTGAAGATCTTCAATGAATGTAAGAGTTTAACGGGGGTGGGAGAATTAAACCCTTATTGAAGATCTTCAATGAATGTAAAAGTTTAACGGGGGTGGGAGAATTAAACCCTTATTGAAGATCTTCAATGAATGTAAGAGTTTAACGGGGGTGGGAGAATTAAACCCTTATTGAAGATCTTCAATGAATGTAAGAGTTTAACGGGGGTGGGAGAATTAAACCCTTATTGAAGATCTTCAATGAATGTAAAACTTTAACGGGGGTGGGAGAATTAAACCCTTATTGAAGATCTTCAATGAATGTAAGAGTTTAACGGGGGTGGGAGAATTAAACCCTTATTGAAGATCTTCAATGAATGTAAGAGTTTAACGGGGGTGGGAGAATTAAACCCTTATTGAAGATCTTCAATGAATGTAAGAGTTTAACAGGGATGGGAGAATTAAACCCTTATTGAAGATCTTCAATGAGTGTAAGAGTTTAACGGGGGTGGGAGAATTAAACCCTTATTGAAGATCTTCAATGAATGTAAGAGTTTAACGGGGGTGGGAGAATTAAACCCTTATTGAAGATCTTCTTCAATTGAATGTAAGAGTTTAACGGGGGTGGGAGAATTAAACCCTTATTGAAGATCTTCAATGAATGGAAGAGTTTAACGGGGGTGGGAGAATTAAACCCCTTATTGAAGAATCTTCAATGAATGTAGAAGTTTAACGGGGGTGGGAGAATTTATATGAGATGTATAGTGTGAACAAAAAATCCTTGTAATTTACGCTATTCTGGGCTTGGGCAACACAAGGGGCCTGTGGGTATATATACATATGTGTGTAATTAATATATATATATGTAATATATATATAATGTATTGAATGTTTGAAACAAATGCATATAAATATATACATATTCAAAAATACATGTACATATGATAAGCAATTTTGACTGATGAGCCCAGGATCGATGATGTTGTGGAAGAACTTCTTGCCGCTGCCCGTCTTGCCACTGGGTTCATCCCAGGTTTTTCCCGACGGATAGGCAGGGAAGGGGCCACCATCTGGGTCCTTCTCCTACAGTTGGGTTGCATATTAGGATACATCGCATGACTTGGGATGCGTCCATGGTGAGAAATGTATAACTGCCGGGTTTCATCAAAGATCAGCTGGCTAAAAAAACTATGAGAATCGTCTCTTTCAATATACAAAATTCGCTTATAAATTATGAGGAGTGGATACAAACCGTGGATTTTCTTTGCCATGTGGTACCCCAGAGAGTAGGCCCGCAAACCCAGTCTTGACCGACGTTGAAATAAGCAACGTGACCAACACAGGAAATTTCAAACGCCAAATATGCATCCGACCGGTAAACGCTGGTAGTTCAGTTTGACACGGCACGTTGACACATTGACAAGTGTGTTAGTCATTGGGTTCATATTCCAACAAACTAGGCGGCTATGGATCCAAACCTTGCGGCCTGCTGTTCATAGCCAGAACAAGAACAAGACCTGGCCTACATATATATATATATTAGTTTGTCAAGAACTATGGGTATCCCAAAATCCAGCGTCAAGATTTTCCCCATTGAAATTGCCATGTTGGGGGGGTATACCGGTATACCCTTTGATGGACAGACCCAGCTGTGCAAATTCATCTGGCCCCCTTGGCCAAGATTCCTGCTTTTTGGCAGCCTCGAAATGCTTCTGGTGCGCGTCGATGAGCGTTTGCAAAGGCACTCCCATGTCCTTTGCAAGGTCCTCTCCGGTTGGGTAGAACTTCATCACACCACGGCCAGTGTAGTGCTTGGCATGCCAAATGATCCTTGGAAACAGTGACATTTCAACACACGGCTAGGGCCGCCCTTCAAAGAAACACCCCTGCTGTATGATCCAATGGATCTGTTTGAGCAATGGGGTCCAAACCACTGCTGAATCCCAAATGGTGTTGGATTTGGATTTCCCAAATCCCGAAATATCTTTCAATATCCATTCACATATTTCACATCCACCTGCCCTTTCTTGAATCGATTATCTCACTCTGTTTCCAAGACTCTCATCAGCAGCAGCCCTGTTCAAGCACAGGCGGAAGGGAGGTTTGTTCTTCCACATTTCTCCAGTGACATAGTCCCGGCGTCCCAACCTCAACGTCAATCTCAAATAATCCACAGAAATCACTATCGCTGGGCTACACATTTTTGGGATAAACAAAGTAACGCCGTCGTTATCGCATCCTTAGTCCTGTTGCGTGACACTTGTTTCCTCGCCATTTAAGTGGCGCATGACCTGATGATCCTGATGCCAGAGGTTGTGGCGGCGGTAGCGCAATTGCCATGGGTAAATCCAATTCCACAGGTCAGCATTCAACAGTGTTGTTTTTGGATCCTTTGTACTGACCTGCTTGGGAACAGAGTCTTTACAGTGATCCCAACTATCCAAGATCTGCGTCCTGCTTTCAAGGTCTGACCACTGCATCTTTGTACATTTATTGAAAATTCGAGCACAGCATGCCTCAATTCGTGGGAAGTTCCAAAAGCAAGTTAAGAACGTAGCATCAAGAGCGTATTTGGTAGTTCCAAGAGCAAGTTAAGAGCATAGCATCAAGAGCGTGTTGGAAGTTCCAAGAACAAGTTAAGAGCGTAGCATCAAGAGTGTGTTGGAAGTTCTCAGGGCAAGTTGAGAGGGTAGCAACAAGAGCGTGTTGGAAGTTCCAAGAGCAAGTTAAGAGCATAGCATCAAGAACGTGTTGTCAGAACCGCATGGGTGATCGCAGCCGAATGAACGTTTTTAGTCCCCCCACCCCAACCCACCCCACCCCAATGAGGCAACGTATCACACCTCTTGAGACATCTCTGGCGTAGCATCCACAGAATGCACAAATTAACCTGGACATTACTGCCCTACCCCACCCCACCCCACTTCCATGATATGCATGTGGCTAAAACATGTTTTCTTCCGCGCCGGTAACGCCGGCGATAACATAAACAAATATGTTCTACAGCTCTACCTGGTCCGATCTTCACCTTGGTCGGAAGCTTTACTGCCGGCAATAATTCTCTAGAGTTGTTTTGGCTATCGGCTGACTCGCCGCCCTGGAAGGGTTGTCATTTTTTGCGATTGTATACTTCGATGTTGTGCAAGGTATGCTGGTACGGTGGGGTGGGGTGGGGTGGGGCTAAAAACGTTCCTTAGCACTTGCACGCCAACATGATGCTACGTTAGAGATGGGGTGGGGTGGGGCTAGTAACGTTCCTTGGCACTTGCACGCCAACATGATGCTACGTTAGAGATGGGGTGGGGTGGGGTGGGGCTAGTAACGTTCCTTGGCACTTGCACGCCAACATGATGCTACGTTAGAGATGGGGTGGGGTGGGGTGGGGCTAGTAACGTTCCTTAGCACTTGCACGCCAACATGATGCTACGTTAGAGATGGGGTGGGGTGGGGTGGGGCTAGTAACGTTCCTTAGCACTTGCACGCCAACATGATGCTACGTTAGAGATGGGGTGGGGTGGGGTGGGGCTAGTAACGTTCCTTAGCACTTGCACGCCAACATGATGCTACGTTAGAGATGGGGTGGGGTGGGGTGGGGCTAGTAACGTTCCTTAGCACTTGCACGCCAACATGATGCTACGTTAGAGATGGGGTGGGGTGGGGTGGGGCTAGTAACGTTCCTTAGCACTTGCACGCCAACATGATGCTACGTTGGAGATGGGATGGGGTGGGGTGGGGCTGATGGAACATGTCGCTACGCTGATGTCACGCTGATGGAACATGTTGCTACGCTTGCGCATGTTGTTACCATACCTTGATGTTACGCTGATGGCACAAACGGTCATTTGTCAAAAAAAACCGAGTGAAGTTTAATAACCGCTTTGTTGTCGCAGGCACCCAGCAACTTGACTTGAAAGTTTTGAAAAAATGGAAGCCGATCGCCTTTGTCCAAAAAGACAAATCCCATGGGGGAACCACCGAAAATCGTTGCAAATGGGCGCGAAGCTTCCAGTGGAGGCATAATGCTTCCATCACCAGTTCAATCTTGGAAGAACTTCCCGCATGCTTGTGGCAGAGTTGAAAAAAGATGCGCCCAAGCCGTAAGGACATGGAATTTCTTGATGAAGAACAATTTCCAAACTTGCTTTTCCCAGTGTGATAAAAGACGATCTTTTTGCCTGCACGAAATACAATTTTCTCAATTTTGAATTGGCCCGCCCAGTACAAAATGACACTTTCAAAATGCCTTCCCAACATGAAAAATGCAAAAGCACTGGGCTTTAATCATTTCACCTTGTGAATGATGGAAAAAAACTTGTCGACTGTTCCAGGGCGGCGAGTCAGCCGATTCCCTTGTTTTTGGCTATCGGCTGACTCGCCGCCCCAGAAGGGTTGTCAATTTTCGCTACTGTATACTTGGATGTTGTGCAAGGAATGGTTCGGTCCTGGTACGGCGAGGTGGGGTGGGGTGGGGTGGGGCTAAAATGTTAGAGATGGGGTGGGGCAGCTGCCGCAAAAGCAAATGCCACTAAGATGTCCACCGCCATGGCTTTGCTACGCTTCGCCTAGACTGGTGTATACGCGGAAATGATTACATTAAAAGTGCCGTTATCAAATTTCTTGGCCGTTAGTGTTGTCGAGATGTGTATTTGGTTCTGTTAAATTCGAGAAACACGACTGTACGATTTTGGACAGGCGACTTTTGGTGTTATTCTTTAATTTTCGGGTCAGAAACAAAGATTCCATTGTTCTAAATGTCTCTGACATGGCAAGTATGGCAAGTCAACACTTGCTTGCTATTCGAGTTTGAATGTCGGACAAAAGGAAGCAGCGACTCAAGCTTACAGCACACCGCCTCCTTAATTCAAGTGAAAGTGTCACAGCACTTGCAAGTCAATATGTTCGCATGTATGACTACGTCTCAATTTGCACCGGAAACCTCCGGAAGATGCATTGACAAGGCTTTTGCAGCAAGTCAAACTGAACAACAGAGTTGGCACTGGCGAAGCAGATACCAGTTTGAAGCATGCCCAGTTGCACGTTTTTTAAACACGCGGTTTCAATGTACACACCTTAGCTAGATTTTTCTACTTGCAGGTAGGATCACAGCTTTTCTCTTCCTCAATCTGGCCACATTTTTCGTCGTTGCTGTTGGGCGCATGCGCATTGTATGTTAATTATTTATCAAAGCGTGATGCATTGTTGCTTCAATCACATCCAAGACAGATACCTTCACATGTGACCCAGCAACATGTGTTGCACTTGAGCATAATACAAATCAAAAGATACACGTGGACCCACGCCTTGCCAACAAAACTTCTGGACTGAGCCAATAGAAAAAAATAGTCTCTTCGCTTCATTGCATACAAGTCATTGAACCCGAGTGTTTCCACCAGTCAGGTTCACCATGCTGTTTCTAGCTGATTCCGAAATTGATGCCCTTTTGTTTTGAATATCCTAGAATAATCATCGGAAACTGGAATTTAATCATCAAACATGTGGTTTTGCTGAGTGGATGAGCAGTGCGGCACGAAGAATCCAAGCAGCCACTCAGCCCCTCAGCCACTCAGCCATCACCACCCCCACCCCCTAAAAACCCCCCCAACCCCTAACCCCAAACCTATATAATGGTAACATCACGCATTGAGCCACTCAGTCACTCTACCAGAGTGGCTGCACCAGTCACTCAGCCACTCAGCCATCCCCACCCCCTAAACCCCCCCCCCACCCACCCCTAACCCCTCAAGGTAACATCACGCACTAACTCTACCAGCTACTCGACCACTCAGACACTCGACTTTTGAGAGAGTGGCTGAGTGGCTGAGTGGCGGGTCCAGTCACTCTACGAGTGGCTGAGTGGCTGCGGTTACAGTAAAAAAAATCCGTCAACGCGCGCTCAATCTTATATCAATATTATATCACATGTTATCACTTGTCCCATATGTTCATGTCATGATTTCCCCATATGTTCGGCATGTTGTTCCCAATGTTCCATGGATTTTTCCATGACCTCAGGACCTCCGCCACCGGTCACCGCCATTGGGCCATGGCGCTCATTGCAGAAGCGGTTGCCCATGGCGTCCAAGACGATGCCCCCCACGCCGCGCAAGGCCTCGGCGGCCAGAAACTTGACCTTGGCGTCCGGGTCGTCGGGCTTCACCAAGCCGGTGGGGTGGACCTGGCGCGATCCCGGCCATCCCCATGGGATGCCATGAGCCATGGGAGAACATGGTGAGGTCCATGTGAAAATCATTGGAAATCCCGAAGATCGAAGGAACATTGATTTTTATTCATGGCTTGAGTCTAATGACAAACCCAAAAGATATATGGGAGTTCTTGTTAATTCATAAAAAGAATCAAGAATCAAGAATGAATGATAAATATCCTTAACATTCGTTATATAAGTAAATCTGTAAATCATCATACACCAGGTTTTGGTAATTAATGTTCTCTCCATTGGGACTCTCATCATGGAGTCAATGAGTCATTGCTCACACTTCCAAATCCCTGTACAAACATATTCCCAGTAGGGTTCTCAAAAAGTGGATGGACCAAGGGGAAAAGCATTCAGAAAAACATGTTTCAAAAATCTGCTTGCAAAGTTCTTTCTTGGGCAGGCTGTCAAGTCTCTTTCTTGAACAAAAAACACACCAAGTTTCATTAAAAAAAGAACAGCGAACGCTTCAGCCCTTGCATATCACCTACCAACGTCACACCTGCACCCATTCCAGGTCGATGGTAGCCGCACCAATGGCTTCTCCCATCTTGATGGCGTCACCTGCAACACCGAGAACAAATCAACTAATTAGAGAGTCTAGGTCTAGGACGGTCTAGGTGGTTTAGTAAATCTAGTTGGGTGGTTGCAGCTTGAACCTATCATGCAAAAACATCAAAAAACACTCATTCCCACAAACTTACAGATCTAAACTTTGAAGTCTCAAGCCTGTGCAGTGCTCACCGTTGGTGGTGGGCAGATGCAACAAGTCTGGCCGGTAGGTGGCCAGCAGCGAATCGGAGCCAAAGTCCGCCCCAAAGCCGCCGGAGGCCAAGACCATAGGGCCGAACTCCTGAAAAACCACCCAGCACGTCCAGTTCTTTGGGCTGTCCCTTGGATGTAAAGAGCCAGAGAAGGTGGTTCATAGCCCACTGGGGTATACCCTATGCAACCTATACATGGAACTGGGGTATTTTTGATGGGGTGACCTCTGTACCAACTGAGATGCACCCCCAAGTCCCAAGTTGGAAAATGAGGACCGTTGGATTAGGAGAGATTCCAGGCAGGACTTGGAACGCCACTGCACATGAACAACGTGATTTTTAGATGTTGCCTCATGGTCACTCCAAAAAGAGCTATATATCCTTGGATTCCTCTGATGGGCTGAACAGTTTGCTCACCTACCAACAAGATCATTAATCATGATCCCTTCATCCAAAAACACCCAAAATCCACTGAAAAATCACCACCTACAAAAAATACAAGTCAATAATTGAAGTCAATATCAAGTCATTAGTCCTTCACGTCCTTCATGTCCTTCACACAGCTTCCAGGCTTTCCCCCGATCCGCCAGCCTTCACCACCTTTCCAGCCTTGCGATACTCGCAGCCCACCACGTTGCGGCCGTTCTGCAGCAGTTTGAAGACCTCGGCCTTGGTGACGATCCGCGCGCGGTGCGTCTTCTCCGCGACCTGCATGGATGTGGGGTGATATCTATATGATCTATATATGTGTATGTATATAATATATACATATATATGTATATATATATATATATAAAGGCTCAGCGAGTTTCTTTTTTGACGCGTAGCAAGCCAAGATTTGTCAGAAAAAACGAAAATCGGAGAGGTGAAAGACTCCCTGCTTCACCTTTCAAAACACAAGCCCCCCAGGCTTTTCACAACTCTCACCCAAAATGGGAGAAAATCAAAATAAAATCTTCAAACCTCATCAACATCCAAATTTGGAGGCCCAGGTTAGTAAACTCTCGCCAAACCGAGAGAAAACTAACCCCCTCAGTACTCCCCAGGGCCTCGCCAACCCGAGGCTCTCCCAGGCCCAAGTACAATTTCTTAAACAAAACAGAGGAAAAAAGACAATTCCTGGTGTTCTCCCCAGGATATGGCAAACACCTGCTCTCGACAAAGAGCAGGGCCTCCCAGGGAGGGAGGGTAGGGTGCTGAGCCAAAAGCTGCATTCAAAACATACACATGCTTCACCTTTACTCCTGGGGCAGGACAACAAAGGCTCAGCGAGTTTCTTTTTTGACGCGTAGCAAGCCAAGATTTGTCAGAAAAAACGAAAATCGGAGAGGTGAAAGACTCCCTGTTTCACCTTTCAAAACACAAGCCCCCCAGGCTTTTCACAACTCTCACCCAAAATGGGAGAAAATCAAAATAAAATCTTCAAACCTCATCAACATCCAAATTTGAAGGCCCAGGTTAGTAAACTCTCGCCAAACCGAGAGAAAACTAACCCCCTCAGTACTCCCCAGGGCCTCGCCAACCCGAGGCTCTCCCAGGCCCAAGTACAATTTCTTAAAGAAAACAGAGGAAAAAAGACAATTCCTGGTGTTCTCCCCAGGATATGGCAAACACCTGCTCTCGACAAAGAGCAGGGCCTCCCAGGGAGGGATGGTAAGGTGCTGAGCCAAAAGCTGCATTCAAAACATACACATGCTTCACCTTTACTCCTGGGGCAGGACAACAAAGGCTCAGCGAGTTTCTTTTTTGACGCGTAGCAAGCCAAGATTTGTCAGAAAAAACGAAAATCGGAGAGGTGAAAGACTCCCTGTTTCACCTTTCAAAACACAAGCCCCCCAGGCTTTTCACAACTCTCACCCAAAATGGGAGAAAATCAAAATAAAATCTTCAAACCTCATCAACATCCAAATTTGGAGGCCCAGGTTAGTAAACTCTCGCCAAACCGAGAGAAAACTAACCCCCTCAGTACTCCCCAGGGCCTCGCCAACCCGAGGCTCTCCCAGGCCCAAGTACAATTTCTTAAACAAAACAGAGGAAAAAAGACAATTCCTGGTGTTCTCCACGTCCCCCTGCCCTGCGTGCACACGCTGCTCAAGCTTTTGCACTCAACGGCTAGCAGAAGTAAATGAATTCACAAAGGGCTTCAAAGTAGAAACGGGTATGGAAATCTCCGCTAGCAGGGCCAAACCTTCGTTTACATAAATCTTGGCAGTCTTAGCTGCAGCCCAACGGCCCTGCACTAGCAATTTGTCAAAGGAACCATGGTGTTGAAACCAGTGGGTCGCACCACCCCGTCTCAGGCTATAGGGCCTAAAGCCATGGTCTTCCAATTTGAGTTTTCGCACAGTGTTAGCGAACATTGTTCGCCATTTATGTGGTGCCGGGCAAAGGGCCGAATTAGGCTTCTGCTCTTGTTTCCATTTCCAAAGGAGTTGTAAAACTGGCAAAACTCCCAGCGTCGCTGACTCCGCAGCTCCTTGACGTTGCCCTCCCTTGGTGAGTCCAAGTGAGATGATAGCAACCTTTTTTGGGGAGGCCATGGAGATATGGTGGCTGCAAAGACCCAAAAGTTCCCCAGTTCGGAGCATACAGTAAAAACCCAAAAGCAACGACAAGCCAAAATTAAACTCCCCATTAGCAAAGGCATATCCTGCCATTGCTTGCACCACCTTCTCAGGAAAGGGGGGTGCTCTGTTCGGGAGTTCATTGAGGCTCCAAGTTTTCAGGAGCCGCCATGAGGCGGGCAAGTGCCCTCTGATTTTTGGGTCTTTATCCTGCAACCCCGCAACCGTGTCGTTAGCTTTTGAACGGCCTTCACCAGTAGACCAAAGAAACTCAATCAATGTAATCGGAAACCAAAGGGTCTAAAAACTCCCGCCTGTGGGGGATGGTAACCTGATTTTGTCTCAGAAAGGAGTAAAACCCCTGACGTGCTTGAGCATAGCGATCTTTTGTACGTGATTGAACCGTGAGTTGTTGTAGAGGACCAAGTTTCTTCCTAACAGCGATGCGTTGCTCCCTCGTGCGACCTTCAACGTGTCGCTTGGCTACTTTGCCCATTTCTTTTTCACCTTACGGCGGCTCGGCCGATCGGTCGGATTATCCGCCGTGTGCACATACGCCCAAACCGGATGAAGGTTACACGCCAGGAGCATGCTGTTCAGTTTTGCCATGGTCCTCCGCATTTTCCTGCTGCTGCTGCGGCCTCGACTTAACGCATGCAGACATACAAGCGAATCTGTCAAGCGCACAAATCTGCAGGAAGCCGCTTTTCTTTGAGTAACCCACCAACGAACGGTGGTAAAGATCGCACGTAATTCAAGCACATTAATATGTTCGGGTTGGCCTTTCCAGGTCCAACCCGCAATGGTTTTCCAGCGCCAGAGCCGGGATGGCAAAGAGGCCCTAAGGCGTTGGAACTTGACCTGCTGGTCCGAAGAGGCCTGCAACAGCAGGTCCTCTCCTTTCATGGATACCAAACCCGCCAACTTGCGCACAAGACCCACGCCAGGAGTAGCCGGTATGGCTAACTCCCTACGGATGGGAGGCCTCAACAGGAGCCGTTGCAGCTCCCCAGCCCCTCCCGGCCGACTGGCTTGCACCACTTGCTGGGGGTTGAAGAGGGGACACAAGCCCAGTGGGGCCGCTAGGCAGCTGACTAGCCAGGCCACCACCTGCACACACCACGCATTGCCAACCAGAGACAAACGTAGGTCGTTGTAGTGTTCCTTGGTGCGCTGGGATTTTGGTAGACAAAACTGGGTGTAATGGGCAGGCATCCCCATGATGACTTCCCGTTCCAAAAGCGACGGGATGCGAAATTCTCCCCGACGGTTCACCAAACAGTTTTTTTTCATCCTTGTATTGGTAGGGGGGGAACCGAAATGAATCGGTTTCCCACCGGTTTCGCTCTTTTTGGCTGCACAAATGCAGGCCAGCTGGCTTCCGCCCCGGAACGTTCTTGGGGCGAGATGTAGTAAACGTAGGAAGACGTTGGCCCGGATGTTGTAGCTTCCAGCCTGGTTCCAAGAAATCCGCTGGATCCACCGTGGCTTGCAAGGAGATCTCATGGAAATCTCCCCATTTCGGGTGGTCCACCTTTGAAATTTGAACTCCCTCCATAGAAAGCAACTCCCAGTCACACCAATACAGGCGTGGGCGATTTGCCAAGGAGATGCCTGAAGCATTGATTTTGAAAGGAATTTCCTGAATGGCCTCACTCATGATCGCTCGATCCTGCCTGTCCATGGAGGCCACTGACTCCATGAGGCAGCGCACCTGGGCCCAAGGAAAACCTTCACGAAGCAGCTTCTTAATGCGCGGGACATGCTGGAAGAGACAGCTCCTGGAGTCTCTCAGGGCCCCCCGCTTGTCCGCATTGAGCCCGGACACTCCCTGACAGGGAGGTCCTGCTCCGAGCAACACCAGACCCACCTGGCTGAATCGGCCAGCCCACTCTGCCACCATGGCCTTGTCTACAAGCGCCACATCCTCGACAAAGATGGAATCTGCGAATGCCGCCTCCACCACTCGGCGTCCTTCCGCACATTTTTCGACACTCACGTGCCCTGCCATTGCCAGCCCCAGGAGGTCACATGCTATGCGCAGGCAACCAACCCCATCGAAAAGACCTATTGACAAAACCTGAATAAGGTCGTGTTCTTCCGGAATATCCCCACGGACATTGGCATTGGCTGCCGCAGCTCCGAAAGCTGAGAGACCCCTGGAGACACATGCTCCTCTCCCCGAGGAGGAGGCGTCACTGCAGGTGACCTCTCCTTGACACATCAGCCTGAAATCCAGCCGTGCCAACGGTACAAGAGCGCAGAATCGAGCAAGTTCCAACCGTACCGCTGCGGGGAGCGGGACACGCACCACCGGTGGCTCGCCCTTTAGGCTCTCAATGAAGTGCCACACGGCATTCAAAGCAGATAACAGGGGGCGCCTAAAGAGGGCAAAGTAAACAAACCCCCCGCAGACCACTTGCATCTCCCGCTGGGTAGCCGCACCCCTTCTAAGAAGCTCCAGTGCTAAGCTGACATAAAGACCGACCTTCTGGGGTTTAGGATACGCGATGCCTAAAACCCCATCCAACACAGCCCCTTGAACTTCAGCACACTTTTCTTGACAGGTTGCTTTCCGAGGATGCCGGGGTAGATGGGCTTCTGCATACGCTTGGCGCGCCAGCAATGAAAGCAACCCCGGTGTGCCTTGTACTGCCTCCGCAGTTGCTGGGTCAGTCTTGCGGATCACATCAAAGTTGTCTAAGTAGATCCGATAGGAGGTCTTGGCACAGGTGGCGGGACGATCCTTCCGCATTTCAAGCTCACCCCCGAGACTAGGGGAGGCCTGACTCAAAGCAGCATTGATGACATTCCTGTGGATATGCTGGGCAATTCCCACCGAATTTCGAAAACCCATTGGCAAAACCTTGGAATGAAGCACACAACGTTTGCCTTTGAACTGAGGAGGAACCAGTTCGGGCGGTACCTCCTTGTTGAACCCTAAGAAAGGAAACCAAGAGCTCGGCAGACCAAATAAATAGAAAAAACATCTAATATCTTCCGAGGAAATAAGGGCTACCTCCCCATCCTCCAACATGAAAGGAGATAGCCCCGCAATACCTGGAAGTGTTGCAATGTCAGAATCTAAAGGCCTGCAATTGTCATTCAAAGGGATGTAATTCATGATAAGTCTTTGCGTTTCGACATTCCCAATGAACTCATTTTTTCCAATGCCAAACAGGCCCCCCAGCAGGGGTCTGCCCTGAATATGGCACACATCCTCAAGAGGAATGATACCACATACTCTACGTTCCACCAGCCCCCGACACACTTCAAACCAGTCTTCGTTGTTGATCATCACAGTGGGGGCCCTTCCCAAAAACCGTTTTTCCGGAGGAACCAGAAAGTCAGGAAAATTTTGGATATAAAACTTTGTGCCCAATGTAGCAAAATCCACGAGTGAAACCCCTCCCACTTCAGGAGGCAAAGCGGGGGCTATAGAAGCCCAGCAAAATTTCTGTGCCACTTTAACTTCTTCCCCGCGATAGTCCACGCCTTTGGACCGGAAGAAAATATCGAAACAAATATCAGGAAAAACTTCAGACCAACCCTGCATCCCATCCACACATTGACAAACAAATTTCAGGGCACCCAAACACGCAGCACTCTCTGTCTGTTTTTCACGCTCATCGGTCACGCCGTACAGCATGTTCAGGGCACGGCAAGTGGCTCGCACCATATCTGGACATGAGGACCCTTCGATGATCTCAGATGACAAGGGTAACGGAAAAATACAATTATTTCCAGAACCCAAGGACTGAGGCCTGCTACGCACCACCTCAAAAAGACAAAAGTCATCCAAAATCTTATTCAAAAGGTTCCCCATGGCAACCAGCTTCTTTCCAGCCAACTCGCCGATCTCCTGTGCTAAAAAACCGGCAGGGCCCGTTTGGCCCGTGGCTGGGAGGTACTCCCGGGACGGCCCGGCCTTCTCTCCTTCAGCCAAGAAACTACCAGGGGTCAGATCCGGGGAAGATCCAACCCCCACATCCGCAACTCCGCCACATACTTTCCGCAATGGGGCTCCCAGACTAGGAGCCAGACCGCTTGTACCAAATTCCATAGCGCCCTCAACAGGAGACATGCCACCTCCCGCCCCCCAACCTGGTACCTGCACTCCAGGGGGCTTATAAGTCTCATCCTGTCTCCTCACTTCCCTTTGGCCTTCTCTTTCTCTCTGTCGCCTTCTTTTTCCCGCCGTGGATCCTTGGAATCGCCCTTGCCTTCTCTCCTCCAGTCCTTGCCTTTGCCTTGTCCTTTCTGGCCCTTGCCCTTGGGCTGATCTCGCCTCCAATCTTCCCATCTGTCTTGGCCCGTCGAGGTTCCGAAGGCTCGAGAGGCTTGGGTCCTCAATTTCCCAGCCTCTCTGGCTTCCTTCATTGCTGCTTCGGTCTCTTGACTTGTGGCTACCGATCCCTGTTCCTCTGGGACCAACTCGAACTGTGTGGTCACAGTCCAATGCTTGCCTGCTGTCTGGCTCTCTAAGGCCTTGAGACGTTGCCCCAAGACATCCAGCATCTCTGGAATGCGGCCTTGTAGGCCCAAATCCAAGCAGACCGAAAGATGAAGAGCTTCTCGACGCATGGCCGGTGTCATACGGGAGGCAAGATTGCTTCGGAAATACTGTAGAAAGAGAGGTGGGATCTCCCTCTTGTCGATCTCCCACAATTGACCTTGCGTGGTCAACAGCTGTTCCTGTATGGCGGCCAAGGAGCACGCTGTCAGCACTCCCGGAAACCTCCCGGCCAACCGCTTTGCCATGCGGGTCTGACCGAACACCTCGGAGGCCCCCCCCATGCTTGAAAAACTGCTGGAGCTTCTGCTGCTCCCCCTCTCTGAACTCGAACTGGAACTGTTGCTGGACTTCTTCTTCCGCTTGTGACGCCTCATCAATTTCTTTGCTTTCTTCAAGTAACGTTTTCTTTTGCGGGGGTCTGGATCCAGACCGCTTCCTCCCAGGATCACCCCCAGATCTCTTCCTCCCTTTCTTTTCTGACCTCCCTGACTGGGAGACCGTGGCCTTTTCTCCTCTGCTTTTTTCTCCTTTGCCTTTTTCTTTTCTTTCTTCGCCTTCTTGTCCTGTGCTGCCCCGTCCCCCGCTTCCCTCAGGGGACTGGCGCCTCCTCCAAGGCGAGCTTCTCGTCGAAGGGCTTCTAGTTCGTCTCTTTGATCTCCCCCTGCTGCCAGGAGATTTTTCATCCAGTCTTCCTCTTCTCCGGCCTTGACCTTCTTGACCTTGACGAGGTGAAGGATGTCGTCGGCACTGATCTCCTGAGCGCACCCTTCTGGGCAAAGGTGGCCGCGGATCCTCCCCCCGGCCACCCCACTGAGGTGCTTCAGGAGATGCTCGCTGGTAGTCCCAGCCACCTGCAACTCCATCCATCCTTCTCCCTCCTCGAAGCGCAGGCTTTTGAAGACGCCCGCGCACTGGGTCTTCTCTTTCGGTGCACCATACCTTCCCGCAGGTGAGCAGCTCGGAGGGGTCCACGGCACACGCCTTGACCTCTTCAAATCTTTCAAAAAGCTCCTGAGGTGTACCTTCCGCACGTGCCGGTCTCCTCAACCCAAGCCTGGCTGCGGCTTTTGCTTTTGCCGCCTGCCTGACTCTAGCTGCAGGTCTCCTGGCGACCTTTGGGGGCATGAGGCCTATCGCCGGCCCCTCTCCCGATGCTGCCTCTCCTCTCGCCGCCTTTCCTGCCTCTCCTTATGCTTTCTACCTTTGTTCTTCTTCTTTTTCTTTGCCTTTACCTTGGGGGCCAACCCTGGAGGGACCCCCGGCTCCTCCTCAGGGGCCAGCCTCCGATGACCCGCCGGAATAGGCCCTGACCACCACCTGGCGGCCTGGAGTTCTCACGGGCCTCCCGGGCAGGAGGAGGTCCCGGAGGGGAAGCGGGCCGGACCGGGGAGCTCAAACCCCTCCTCCTGGGCAAGGGACTCTTGCTCCTGCTGGCTTCGTCGGCGGTCTCGGTCTCACTCTCTGCGTCTTCCCACTCCTCAACTTCTTCTTCTTTCACACTGGCAAGGCCTTCTCTTTCGGCGTTTGGGCTTTCCTCTTTGACTCGGCGGCTGGTCTCCTCCCTATGGCGGCTGTCTTCACGACGATGTGCTTTCTTTTCCTTCCCAGCTGGTGGCGCTTCTTCGGCGATCTCCTCCTTTACCTCCTTGTGCTTCCTCTTTCTCTCCCTTCCAGGAGATTTTTCCTTGTTGTGCTTGTCCTTGCGGTCTTTCTTCTCCTTTTCCTTCTTCTTGCGGTCGCGGCCCTCTTGGTCAGGAGTGTGCGGCTCACTCCCTTTTGGGGCGTTTGGCAGAAGTTGTACCCCAGCTGACGGCAGCTGAAAGTAAAACTGATCTGCCTCTTGTAGTAGCTGCAAGTAGCAGCTGTGGAGTGCCCTACTGGCGGTCACTCCCAGTTCGCCTGGAAACCTGGCTCCCCACACCAAGTTCCGCAGGCGGTGGAAGGCAGTGCACACCTGGCACTCGACCCCTCCCGATTCTAGGAGGGGAAATTTGCCACGACAGCTGGTACAACCAGCCACCGTGGCCATCAGTTGCTGAGCCAAAAGCTGCATTCAAAACATACACATGCTTCACCTTTACTCCTGGGGCAGGACAACATATATACTCTCTGTATAAATTATATATATATATATATATATATATATATATATATATTGTATATATATATATATATATTATGTATATATAGTGTATATATATATAATGTTTATATTTATATATAGTGTGTATATATATAATGTATATATATATAGTGTATATATATATAATGTATATATATAGTGTATATATATATATAATGTATATATATATATACATTATATATAATGTATATATATAATGTATATATATATATACATATATAGTATCCGTCTAGTTGGAATATGTTGGAATATGCACAGATAAGAGGAAACAACCAAGAAATGGGGAATATCATCTGAACATGAAGATGTGGGATGCGATGAATGGTATCCTGAAAAGTTGCTATATGGACAGAAAGATGTCAAAACTAAATTGCCTCCCCTCATAGTAAATACTTCCCCCCAATATGGGACCCACAATGAATAGATTCAGTAGACCAGAGGCTTTCTGGGGTGTAATTATTCATTTTGGGAAAGGGACTACAATACATCGGGAATATCTGAAGGAGTGCGTGTATATGACAATGAATGGGGAACATATGACTGCTATGGAGGGGTGATGTCAATGTCAGATTGACAAGGACTGGCAAAATTAGTGCTAGGATCGTTGGCTATATATGGGGATACCCGTAGCCATTGAAATCATATCACAAAAAAATAGCTAATAATAGCCATAATGACTAAGCCCATCAGGATAGCCATTATAGCTAATACATAAAACTATGAATAATTCAGTCATGAAATTCTTCAAAAGCCAGTCCCTATCTTCAACTCGAGTCGCATGGAACCTTGGTTTCATCCTTTTCGCCATCAATGGCCATAAAATCATGTACATCCATTTTAACAAAACACGACCGAAGATGTCATATCGATATCCACCACATCCCCAGCATATCCTACCATTTCAGCTTGGTTTCAGCCTATTTTTGAGACAATTGCGCGAGGATTTTGAGAAGTTCCGTCAAAAATGGAGCACCTTCTCCAACATCTGGATCAGCGCATAGGTGATGGTCATCCCTGGGAAGCGCTCCTTGCCGCGGTGTGTGCCTGGGAAGCCAATCAATAGTTGGCTGGTGCTTTCAATCCCGGTGAACAAAAATCAGCATTTGGTACCATCATCACAAGAAAAGGGAAATCAACCTTTTCTGAATATGTTGAAACTAAGGACTGGGGAAATATATAATATCTATATTTGCATGGTTAATATATACCCAAGAATCAGTCGGTGACTCTCCCATTTGCCGGGAAAATTAAAATAAGTAGCTCTTACACACTCCCTAACTTGGATTTGTCTCAAAATTGGGTCTTCATCAATCTATGATTATTTTCACGGGGCAAATGAGGTTTTAAACCATACAAGCTGGGGCAACGATAGCTAAGTTGGTTTATACCTAGGTTAACATTTGGGAGTTTCCTAAAATGGGGTGTACCCCTAGTTATCATCCATTTTCATAGGAGTGTCCATTATAAACCATCCAGCTATTGGGGTCCCAGCGTTTATCGAAACCTCCGTTTGGGTTTATAGATTCCTAGGTACATCCAGCTCATGGGGCCTGCAGGACCAAGATGCGTGGCTGTGAATGACCACCAAGACGTGCCACCAAGGACAAATCCAAATCAAATTTGTCCACCAACCAATCGACATCTGCGGCGCTGTTCACGCACAGGACCTCAACAAAAACGCATATTTTTTTTGGCGTTGACGGATTTGAAAAGACTGGATCATTCTTGGATGGACTAATTGATCTAGAATAGCGACCCCTGAAAAGATGGAAGTTCATAAACTCCCACTAAAATGGTGGTAATAATGTATTTTTGTTCCATCTTTTGGAGGGTTCATGTAGGGAACAACAATGCACCCAAGGATCAGAATCTCCTGAACAAATGTTCCCTTCAACGAATTCAGGGGCTCAAAATGGCGAAGCATCAACCTAAAAGGCAGTACAGGGTATATTATGATGAGCTTAACAAGAAAATGGGTTTGAGCAGAGAGAGAAAGGAACTTTGCAGCAACAACTTTTGGGATTTGAGTAACGCTAGTCAAGAATGATAGTGAGAGTATGTGATTGCATAATATTGCATATAAATGTATATGTAATTATATGTGTATATATACCCATAGGATCCATGGATGGAATATTTACCAACATTTACCCCATAAATGACCCAAATGTAGGTAAATATACCATACATGGATCCTATGGGATATAATATAGATATATTAGATAGATAGATAGATAGATAGATAGATAGATAGATAGATAGATAGATAGATGGATAGATAGATAGATAGATGGATAAATAGATAGATAGATAGATAGATAGATAGATGGATGGATGGATGGATGGGATACAGTAAGATAAGATAAGATAAAATGAGATAAGATAAGATAAGATACGATACGACAAGATAAGATAAGATAAGATTACTGTAGATTAGATTAGATACGGTTAGATAAGATAAGATAGGATAGGACAAGATAAGATAAGATTAGATTAGATTAAATTAGATTAGATTAGATTTAGATTAGACTAGACTAGATTAGATTAGATTATATTAGATAGATAGTCATAGATTAGTTCCCGTCAAAATTCTTTACATCTCAGTAGTTACTATTATTGGTTATCGCTTTTTGTGGGGGCCATATTGCTTTCCAGTATTTTGTGCCATTATCGCTTTTGGAGGGGGTCCTATCGCTTTACAGTGATTCGTTCACATCTCTGACAAAAGTGTTTCTGCAATACTACAGTGGTTTTCAACCAGTTTGACCGTAACTCATGTCATATGTCATAGATTAAAGTGGAAAAAAAAACACTCTTGAGTCTCTGGGGTGGATAATCGTGGATAATTACGCTGCTGACGTAGCGATTGCATTCGCATTGCGTTCAAATAACGATTCAGCGTATCCTTTTAAGGGCAACATAAACCACTCAGGAGTGACAAAGAACGTTCTGGCGCGGAAAAAAAACAAATCTTGGAAAAGGTGACCTTTTGAACCTGGACTCATATTTACCAGTCCTGATCCTTACCAGGTAGTATACAGACTTCTTTATTCATCTCGAGATTTAGATAGATTTGTATATTTTGAAGCCAATTAAAGCATCTATTGTACACTAAGCCCACAAGATCCACAAGTCAAAAAACGTTTCGCATGACTCCCCCCACCTTGGCCAGTTCAGGCTTCTTGGCACCGCCCTTGAGCGTATCAGCAACAAAAATATCCGCGGTATCTGGGATGGACTTGCTCTTCTGGGTCTTCGTGCCTGAGGTGATGAATGGTGATGATATCTGCTGGCAAAGCCAATATCGCCAAGCTATGTTTGGGATTGAAGTTCTTGGGATATATGATGGCTTGATATCTTGGGTTTCTAGATGTGTTTGTTCTTTCGGGGATCCACAGGAAGAAAAAGCAAACACTTGTAGATGAAGAGTTCAGTGGGATCTAAACTCCATACTGTACTCGTTTATATTGGGATTTAAGCTGCACCCAATGATGGTTGATTTATGTTGATACTGAATACTGGGAGAGTTGATGGAAACAGCATGGGGGCACAATAGCGGGATATAACGATTGGGATTAGCCATCTACAATCTAAAAGACCATTCCCACTTGTCGACCATTTGGGTGGCTGTTACAAATCATCCCAAGTAGGAGTGTACCCTACGAATAGACCACACATTGTGGATGGTTCTTTATTGTGGATCCCACCTTATCCAATGTTATTCCTGAGCATCAAACATCTTTATATAACCAAAACATTCACAGTGCATCATTGAGCACTTCATGCGGCTATATCAACAAATCATCCAGATTGAAAATTAATTCACCTATTGGTGCCATTTCCCAAGGCTTACTTCATGAGGTTATCAGCTTCGCTTCCGGAATCACAGAGGCGAAACCTTCAAAGGACACACTTGATACAGTAAGCACTGGGTTGGGCAGCCCTTTTTTTCAGGGAGAGTTGGAAGAACCCAAAATCATCCACGAACCACTTTTTCTACTCCCAGAGTGTGTAAAGGTGTCCTAGGACTTTGCATATTGACTCATTGTGTAAGAGATGGAACTCCAACCTGGTGATTTGAAGGTCCAACTTCCTTTCATGATTTGCACCTTGCTCAATAAAAATCCAAGATCTTCCCAGTTTTGGAGACTCAATGTCAGTCAAATTCCCAAGATGTTCCCATTTCAAAGTACTCCAAATCATAGCGAATGCTGGCAACCCGCCATGAAGCTACACCGGTTTGGGGATGGTAATGGTGCTGCCGAAAACTGCGGCCTGCACCGTTGATGCCACTGGTGGCCTTCGTACTGTTGCCACCACAAAAGGACGACTTGTCCAGCAGCAAAGTCCGGCCTGGCGGCGACCCAGCAGCAGAACCGTGTGGCGAGTAATGGATAGGGCTAGCAAACGCCATCCACCTTGTTTGGGGCGAATCTGAACCATCTACGACAGCGATTCTTGATGGTTTTTGACCTGCACCGTTAGCTCCATCCATAAACTTGTTCTGATTGCAGGGAGATTCCTTTTGGTGCTGGTGGAATCCCATTATATCCCCATGATGCTTGGTTTTCTACACGCAGGAAATTATTGGTTCAATCACCGTGTTCAGCCATTTATACAGATTATTGGTTGATTTGATGCCCCCATTTATAGCCATTTAGACCGGCAAGTTTGTTGCTTAAATCACAACTTATAGCCGTTTGCAACTGAGTTTGCCAGTTTTCATTTCCCACTTTGAAGATGGCCATAGATTAGTGATAAGTCCACTATTTTTGTTGGTAAACTCCTCCGAACCCATCTAAACATAAAATCCCCAAATATTGCGGCCTCTCCCCGCAATTATCTGTGATGCGTTTCAGTATATATATATATATATATACATGTTGATGGATTTGGTCGGTTCCAAGTCCCTGACAGATGTTCTTGAAAAACTCATTACCTGCCCATACTCAACTTCAAACGGCCCATCTCTGGGACAAAACTCCTGATTTATGTGTGTTAAATCATACAGTATTATGTTTGGTATAATGTTTTTTATTTATACATAATTATCTATTTATCTAATTATCTGTTATATGAACATCAGCCATTATCACTGATCATTTATTATCTCCTACTATAACATAAATCATTCTCCTTTATGTGTATATGTATATATATAATTGTATAGGATCCCTGAAATCAGAGTGCCCAAAATCATCCGAAATTGGTGGTTATCAATGGCAAAACCGATGGTTTTGGGGATACCACCATTTTAAGAACCCCCCGTATCTTGATATGGATTTCCCGTTCACGGATCGTGATATTCCCCAATATATTGGTGAGCATAAATCCCATATAATTATCATCAACCAACAGGGGGCTATGAACAATGTTCATTTCAAAACTTACTGTAAAACAATTACACATGATCTAGTCTCTAATTTGTCTGATTAATTATCTACTATATGAACTTTGTTTCTTAACATTTATCATCAACCATCTCCTACTAACAGTAAGGTCAACCCTGGATCAATAAACCCCGAACGGCTATTTAATGGGTGGTAAAAATTAAGTATCATATTATCAATATGTGGAGGATACCCCCGTGATTAATAAACCGTGGTATATTAATCCGGGGTTGACAATGGTCAATACCATACATACATTACATTACATTACATTACGCTACGTTACATTACATTACATTACATTCCATTGCATTGCATTGCATTGCATTACATTACATTACATACATTACATACATAACATACATTACATACATTACATTCATTACATACATTACATACTTACTTACTTACTTACTTACATACATACATACATATATATACATATATTAATAATCATTGCCCTCAAGTAAATTATATAACTAGACTCTGCCATATAACTAGACTCTAGACTCTGCCACATAGGGGCTTGGAAGACTAGTTTCCACTAAAAGTGTTTTTTTTCAGAGTCAACTGTTAAGAGGGTATCATGTATGCATATATATAACACTATACATAGGATTCCTGAAAAAATGTATCATTGATACATATATATATATTATACAGTATATATATAATAGTTATACTGTATATTATATTATATATATATACTGTATATTATATATATACTGTATATATTATATATATTACATACATATCACATATATATATATATAATATCATGATATATAATGTATATAATCCTCCTTAAAATTGCGGTCCTCCAAGCTCCACCACTTGGTTCGCAGCAGACATCCCAGCCAGGCCGCCACCCACCACGATCACCTCGTCAACTGCGGGGGAAGTCGCCGTTGCGTTGACGTTAAGGAAACGTAAGGATTCAAGGAAGTCGAGCAGCAAAGTCATAGGATTTTTTAATGTTTTTAACTAGATTTTTATATGGATTTGTATGGTGATGATTTGATGTTTATTGTTGAAAACTAAACTTGACTTGTGAATTTTGATGATGTTCATCGATTCTTGAATCCTCTTGATAGATGATGTTCGGATTCAACCGGCGCTTTCGGACAAAAAGCTCGCCTGGTTTGCTGGAAACACGGCCGCCATGTCGATCAAATGCCACAAGGACGAGAGAAATGAAATCACCAAAATGTCTGCGGAGGATAAACACCATTAGCAAATATCTATCATCCATTAATCATGATCAATCATGGTTGATAATGGTTAGTTGCTTCATAATTCATAATCAACATTTAATCAACAAAGGCCTGACTTTACATAAGCTCCAAATAACTGCATTATTAACATCTGTGAATGAACTACTCAAAACCTTGTCCATTCAAACCATCACGTTCCCTTCAAAAAACGTGTTGGACTATGTTGGACTGCGATTACCATCAAATTTTGGACGCCGATACGCATCTGCGCATGATAAAACGTTTAAGAACATGAAGGACATTGATCCAAATGATGGAACAAACAACACTCTACCCTCAGATCTATGGGTTGACGGCCTGGCGTCATGCCACTTCTATTTTGACAAAAAATACTTCAGAATCCAGCCGATGCTGCGGATCCAGCCATTGGTCCTCAGTAATGTTGAGCTGTTGTAAGGCCAGGCGAAACTCTTCAAAGTCTAAATTGCCCGACCTGAAGGCAACCAAGGCAACCAAGGCAACCAAGGCAACCGCCAAACACAGCAAGGCCAGTTTCAAGGCCTATTTAAAGGCCTATTCATCTATGTTCAGTCCAAGAAAATGTCTAAAGATTCGTCTAAATGTCTGGAGATAGCCTGAGCTAGCAAAGGAAATAAAGGAAGAACTAATGAATGTCTATCCCCTTGCATGGGTCAACACCCAATGATATTGTCAGTTTCTTTTTTCATGGCTGAAATTTGAAAGGATGGTGTCATGAATAGGCTCCATCAAAATATAGCTCACATATAAATGGCAAATGAATACTGATCAATCGCACAATTGTCCAACCATTTAACCATTCGTTGATTAGCCCATCAAGCAATTAACACATTATAACTACACATAATGTATATTAATGTGAGTTAATCAACTATGATCTGTTTGAGTAGAATGAAGCAATATTAACCAACCCTTCAACCAGGAATACTTGAGCCCTTCCGAGCCCGCCCAGGGCAGGGACTTGTCTGTGTCGATGGCTTGAAAGACCTGCAGAATGGGGAGACGATATGATGGGTGACATGGGTGACATGAAAATGGTGGACATGCGTATGGAAATATCAAGTTGACTGTATAAGATATGTGGTATGGAAATATCAAATATCAACAGCAAAAATCAAACTGAATGGAAAACAGCTCTAGTGGTATGGATACGTGATATGTGGTATGGAAATTTACATCTTTCAGTGCATGAAGACTAGTAGCTTGTTCAGCAGCAAAAAGCTTGCAAGATTAAAACGTTGGGAATTCCTTACAATCGGTACCATCTGGTTATCTAACATAGCCATGGAAAATCCACCAATATTTAATAGGTAAACCATCTATAAATGGGTCATTTTCTATGGCTATGTTAGTCACAACCAGAGGGTATATTCAAAAAAAATCCCAGGTCTCATGGGATGACTCTCCCCTTGAGAAAACCATGGCACATATTGGCACATACCCTCTAGTAATGATTGTTACATAGCTATTGAAAATGGCCCAGTCGAAATAGTTGATTTACCCATTAAACATTGTAATTTTCCATAGTTATCTTAGTTTACCAGAGGGTAAACCTCCATTTTCCTATGGTTTTCCTATGTTTTCCATCGTTTTCCATCGTTTTTTGTATGTTAGCAAAAAACCACAACATCCCACCCTGGAGCCAGCACTGACGCCGCTAACAACAGGCACATCGTTCCCATCGCCGTGGGAAGTATAATCAATATGACTCACTGGAGTTTATTTCCTGAAAAAAAATACAATGAATATACCCTCTGGTGAACTAACATAGCAATGGAAAATGGCTATTTATAGTGGATTTTCCCATGAACAATGGTGATTTTCCATTGCTATGTTAGTTCACCAGAGGGTATTCTTTTTAAAATTTGAGAGTCACACTGGGTTGCTTCCTATCAGTCCTATCGCACTAAGACGCACTCAACCTGTAAAAAGTGCCAAGTTCTTCCGCGCCCATTGGTCTCTCCCCTAATCAAGGTCTTGGGGCCTGGGGCTCACTGGTTACCTATCTAACAGGATCTGCTACCACCTGCTGTTTGGCAGAGATGAGTACGAGTCAAACGATGTTCAAACGGTGATGCTCTTGTGGGAACCTCCAAAACATAGCTTGTTGTATCTCAAATCCGATAGAAGTTTGTCCAAAAATCTGCATTCAGTCATTGTTTTTAAACATGAGTCTCACCAAGATTCACCAAGTGCGCCTGGAAAACGCCCTGCATATCCTTCATGCTCAAGCCAGTTGCAACAGCAAACATCGCCTGGCGTGAAAAAAAAATGCGGTGATTTCACCCCAGATTCATGAATCCGGAGGGAAAAGAAACATGTTTGAAACTCTCACAGACTCACAAAACAAACAAAACAGAACATATATATATATTTGTATATAATATATATATATATATAATTTATTTATAGAATTTTATAGATATCTCAGCTAGTATCAATGGAACCAGCAGGAAAAGTTCGTTCGTTCGATACCTAAGACATCCCTGATTTCCCGGGCAGCACAGGCCCTCCACAAGAAGCATCCCCAAGTCATCACCATTTTTATGGTATATAAGACATCCCCAGTCATGGTAGGTTCATGGCATTGGAATTCCATGGCTTTCCCACATGAATCTGGTGTGATATGATGTAACATGTCGACATTTCCGAAAACACAATCTGAAGCATTCACCTCCCAGGGTTACTGTATTTCCGGAGACTTGCGCATGTCGACAGAGTCGACAGGTCGCCTTTTTACGTCACATCAGGCGTCTGCGGTAGTATCGATG